GCTCTCTTAAATTCAATTAAGGTTGTAAAATTCTGCATATTTTTAAGATTGCAGACTAAGGACTTTGTGAAATTTTGGGAGTCCGGAGAAACGATTGGCTCAAGATTGGTTGAATTCCCATGGTGGAATAATCATATACAGTACATAAAGAACGTGGTGAGGCAACAGAGCATTGACATTATCTGTGGAATCATATCCCAGCAATGAGGCACCACCTTCAGGAGAGAATAGGGAATTGCTGGAGGGAAAGGATGGATTTGAGAACCTTGTGATGTACACTTTGGAACAGTTTTTGTTTTCTATTTCGTTGGAACAAATTATGACACAGGGTACATCAAGGAAGTCATTGGATGTAAAATAGAGGCCCAAAGTACTTTTATTAGGATAAACAAACCCGTAATATTCACACAAACAACTGAATATTATCTAATTGAAGTAAGTACCTCTATAAATCTTATAAGAATTACACACAACAGAAGCAGATGGAGATCTCCACATTGGTAGTGACAAATCATTATCAGGGCTGGCAGATGTTTTAATGTAGGTGTGCAGTGAGATATGGAGGCTGAGAGAGTGTTCTAATGAAAAAATTGCAGTTCATAAGGCACAAGTGATAGCAAAAGCATTTAACATAACATAACAACATGTAGGAGCAGGAGTAGGCCATTCGGCCCTTCGAGCCTGCCCCGCCATTCAATCATGGTTGATCTTCTAATCTAACTCCAGCTAATACCATAACCCTGCCTTATCCCCATATCCCTTAATCCCTTTTGCAATAAGAAATATATCTATCTCAGTCTTGAATATGTTCAAGAACTGAAGGTCAACAGCCCTTTGGGGTAGTGAGTTCCATACATTCACCACCCTTTGAGTGAAGAAGTTCTTCCTCAACTCAGTGCGAAAGGGCTGGCCTCTGATTTTAAGGTTGTGACCCCTGGTTTTAGTTTCTCCAACCAGGGGAAACAATCTCCCACTATCTACTCTATCATGCCCTTTGATGATCTTATAGGTTTCTATAAGATCCCCTCTAATTCTTCTATATTCTAGAGAATATAGGCCCAAATTGGTCAGCCTATCCTCGTAACTCATCCCCTTCATCCCTGGTACTAACCTAGTAAATCTATGCTGCACCCCCTCCAAGGCAAGTACATCCTTCCTTAAATAAGGAGACCAAAACTGCACACAGTATTCCAGGTGTGGTCTCACCAGGGCCCTATACAGTTGCAGCAAGACTTCCCTACTCTTATACTCTAATCCTTTCATAATGAATGCTAACATACCGTTCGCCTTCCTAATTGCTGCTGCACCTGCAGACTAACTTTCTGTGATTGGTGTACAAGGACACCCAAGTCCCTCTGGACGCTAACACATTCCAATCTCTCCCCTTCTAAAAAATAACCCGCTCTACTGTTTTTGCTACCTAGGTGGATGACTTCGCACTTCCCTACATTATACTTCATCTGCCACCTACCTGCCCAATCACCTAACCTATCTATGTCTCGCTGCATTTTTTTAATGTCATCCTCTGTGTTGACACTTCCTCCTACTTTTGTCATCCGCGAATTTAGATATATTAGCTTCAATGTCCTCATCTAGATCGTTGATGTAGATGGTAAATAGCTGAGGCCCAAGGACTGATCCTTGTAGCACTCCACTAGTCACATCCTACCAATCTGAAAAGGACCCGTTTGCTACTCTTTGTTTCCTACCCGTTAACCATTCCCCAATCCACGTTAATATGCTCCCCCCAATTCCCCCCCTATCTTTTGGACTAACCTTTTATGCAGCACCTTGTCGAATGCTTTCTGGAAGTCCAAATAGACCACATCCACTGATTCACCCTTATCTAGTTTACTCGAAATATCCTCAAAAAATTCTATGAGATTTGTCAAACATGACTTCCCTTTTGTAAAGCCATGTTGACTTGGCCTAATTATATTGTGCCCTAAATACCAGACTACCACATCCTTAATCAATGATTCTAAATTTTTTCCTATCACTGATGTGAGACTAACTGGCCTATAGTTCCCCATCTTTTCCTTTCCACCTTTTTTAAATAGTGGTGTGACATTTGCGATCTTCCAATCCATGGGGACTGTTCCAGAATCCAAGGAATTTTGGAAGATCAGACACAAGGCCTCCACTATCTCATAAGCTACCTCTTTTAAAACCCTGGGATGCAAGCCATCCGGACCAGGGGATTTGTCACTTTTTAGTGCTAACAGTTTCCCTAGCACCAATTCTCTACTAATGAAAATTTCCCTAAGTTGCTCCCTGTCCTTATCCCCTTGGTGCATCTCTATTGTTGACAGACTTGTTGTGTCTTCTAGGGTGAAGACAGATGCAAAGTACCCATTTAGGGACTCTGCCATGTCCTTGTCCCCCATTAAAACTTCTCCTGTCCCTGACTGAAGTGGACCTACATTTACCCTCACTAGCCTATTCCTCTTAATGTATTTGTAAAAACTTTTACAATCAGACTTAATGTTCCTAGCTAGCTTACCCTCAAACTCCTTTTTCTCGCTCTTAATGAGTTTTTTAGTTTTTTTTGCTGGTTTCTAAAACTCTCCCAATCTTCAGATTTGCTGCTTTTCTTGGCAGTTTTATAAGCCTTTTCTTTTAATTTGATGCTTTCCCTAACTGCTCTAGTTAGCCACGGATGAATTGCTTTCCCTGTGGTACTCTTATTCCGCAAGGGAATATGCGACCGCTGAGAATTTTGCACTACATCCTTAAATATTTGCCACTGTTGGTCTACATTTTTACCTCTTAATCTTATTCTCCAGTCTATTTTACCTAAATATTTCCTCATACCTACAAAATTAGCCTTATTTAAATTCAGAATACTTGGCTCGGATTTAACTATATCCCCCTCTAACTTAATGCAGAATTCAATCATATTGTGATCACTCTGCCCTAGAGGATTCTTAATACCTACACTGCCAACTAGCCCTGTTTCGTTACACAAAACAAGGTCTAGGATGGCCTGTCCCCTAGTTGGTTCCTCGGCTGCTCTAGAAAGTTATCTCTCATACACTCAATGATCTCTTCTTCTAACCTATTTTTGCTGATTTGGTTTTCCCAATCTATGTGGAGATTGAAATCACCCACTATTATCGCTTTACCTTTCCTACATGCTCCCCTGATTTCCTGATTAATACCTTGTACTATATCGTGATCACTGTTTGGGGGTCTATAAACCACTCCCATTAATATTTTCTGCCCCTTATTATTTTTTATTTCCACCCATATTGTCTCTACCTCCTGGTCATCGGATTTCAGATCCTTCCTCTCCACTGCTTTTATTTCATCCCTAATTAACAGCGCTACCCCCCCAAACTCGTTTCCCGCAGTGCCTATCTTTCCTGTAAACTGAGAACCCTGGAATATTTAACTCCCACCCTAGATCTCCTTGTAACCATGTTTCAGTGATGGCTACTAGATCGTACCCATATGTGTCTATCTGTGCTTTTAATTCATCAGTTTTATTCCGAATGCTTCGCGCATTCAGATATAACATTTTTAATTTCCTACCATTTCCTCTACTCTCTGATTCCTTATCTGCTTTGCTAAACATCTTAATCCTAGTTAACATATTCCTATTATCTGGCATGCACTGTCATCTTTACTTTTTCTAATGCTAACTTATTGTTTCTCTTACCTATATATTTACATTTTGGGGAGTAAAGTGCATTTTATGCAGGGAACCCCATGTATGTCCATGGGACTTACTCAAAAAGAAGTGCAGGAAACTGTCTTCCAAATTAAGACTAAATCAATGGACTTTTCAAAATTCTGCACAATCTTACATTATTAAGACAATAGTCTTGAGGATAGGAACCCAGTTGTTAGTCGATTGGCGCATCGCTTTTCCGGGTGTAATAATTCCTTCCACAAGAAATTTGGGGTTTCTAATTCTTTATGCCAGTAATTGTTAGTCATGAGTAGTCAGATGTGGTTTCATTAATTGTAAGCTTTGTCACATGCTTAAAATAGAAAGTTGTGTGTTTTCCTGTACAACAACATAAGTAGTTAAATGGATTTATTTATTCTACCAAACGTAGAAAAAATAAGAATATATATAATAACCCTTGCATTTGATGTAGCGCCTTATCAAGCCGTTGAGACTTCTCAAAGCACTTAACAGAATACTATAAAGTGAATTGATTAGTTCGTAGACAAAATGCGGCAGCCAATTGCATACAGCAGTATCCCACAATCAGTTGTAGATTTTTTTTGGAGAAGATTATTACCCCCGGAAAGTGGGTGAATACACAGCAACAAGTTGAGCAGCAGCGTAGGGTATACATCAGAATGTTAATGCTTTTGTGACTATACATACACTGTTCTGCTACAATCCTTCCCTTATGGACAGTATAGAAACATGCATCTACATTGTGAGAGGGTGCTTTTAGTTACTCTATTTCTCAAGTGAAACACAATAACATTACCTTTCTAAATTGCTGGTAACCAGCTTTAACTGATTGTCATAGCCCTGAGACCCAATAAATATATTGGAAGCAGATATAAGACCATTCAGTCTATTGAACCTGTTTCATCAGTTTATTTAATCTTCTAATCCCATTTCCCACCTTTCTCTATACCCCTTAAATCCCTTATTTCCCAAATATTTGAATATTTCCCTTTTAAACATCCCAATTGATTTTGCTAATACTAAAATGGAACACATCACTCTTAGAATCTCAATATTATAAATACTTTAGTTGTACATTAACAGAAATACCCTTTGAACTGTATATTTTTAATTCATTGCTAAGAGCAATACAAGCTTGGGCTCTTCAGGCTTGAAAGAACACATCTCAGAGGGGGCCCAAAAAAGACACATACAATTTCGAAAGAGATTGAGAAATGAAACCCAGAGATTCAGAAATGGTTCACCAAGACAGTAGAACAAAAGTATATAGATTTGGAGTTGCAAAGGGCAATTTCAAAACAGACACAAGACACTGGACTCATTTACAAAACAGTTGGATGCTGTGATGGGAGGACGGTAAAGTGGGTATTCTGAAAGGTTGAGATAAAATAGGCTGAAGGGTTCTTCTTTGTCTGAACCAATCTTGTCATGTGAAAATATAATATTTGAACAGCTCAGCGTGACTACATTCCTACGAATGCTAATATTTTGGATGGGGAAGAGACAGAAATATAAACTGTTTTCAATGTCACAATTTGCATTTTTACAGCATATTTCAGGGTTAAGAACAAAGTTTTTCCTGAAGTATATATTAGAATATCAAGTACAAGAATTCGTAATGTTGATAAAACAAAGGAGTTGATTTTCCTGTCATGGCGTGTCATCTTCTCTAAGAAGCTGAATGCGGTGCATGAGCTGCCGAAAGGTTGGCCGGTCTTCTGGTTGCTGTAAAACAGAGGCCAAAAGAAAATTTGTGTTACTCCAGAGAATTTACAGTGAAAGATGATGTGTACTCGTTTATGTAGCATGAGCAAAGTTTTCCTGTCGATAGTTCTGGGTCCAGTGCTTTCTGAGTGGATGTGCTATACATTTATATGTTGCCACAAAATCCTTCTTGCAGAATAGTGCTCAGAACTGTACACAGTTCTCCTAATGTGGTACAACCAAGGTTTTATACAAACTTAAAATTACTTCCTTGTTTTCATATTTTATTCTTCTGGACATAAAGCCAAGGACTATATTCTTTATGGTCATGTCCATCTGTGGTGTCACTTTTAGAAACCAGTGACTCTGAATCACAAGATCTCATTGCTCCTCAACCCCTCTTAGGTTCTTGGCATTTTAAAATATAAATGGCTTCTCTTTTCCTATTACCAAATTTAATTAGATGATTTTTCTCTACAACAAACTGCATCAGCGACCAACCTGCCTATTCTGCAAGCCTGTTTATGTCTTCCTGCACCTTTTTCGCCCACAAAATATACAGTCAATACACTTTACAGTATATCCTGTGGAGCACTTTGGAACTTCTCGAAGATGTGATAAGGTGCTATATTAAGTGCAAAGATTTTTATTATTATTTTTACAATCCCCATTATTTTCAATAGCTTCCCAGTATAGTGTCATTTGAAAACTTTGACAGCATACCATCTATATCTAAATCCAAATCATGTATATGATGATCAGGAGCAGTCCTAGTATGAGAAGCTGTTTTCTGTTTTCGATCCATTTTCAATCCATGCTTTTACCTCTCCCACAACTTTCAGGTTTGTTATTTGTCAATTGCTCTAAGTTATGTTATATTCCTAGCCCTTAACTGTCAAGCTGTATGATTTAAAATAAACTTCAAACAATTCACTTCACAATATTCTTTTGACAAGGAACTTTCCTGCTTACAATGCATGATTGCTGCAGTGGCAGAACATTCCTGTTGGTGATGCAAATGAGTTTTACCAGTCACTGTCCTCGGTATCGCCACCAGTGATAAACTAATGGCGCTTCAGCCCCAATGCCTTCATTATTGTGTGCTCTTTCAGTCTTATATTAGTTGATGAGTATTAAGTTAAATCTTTATGCCAGACATTTGTTCACTGTTAAGCATTCCAAAACACTTCCTGCGTGAAGCACCCTATATAAATGCAAGTTGTTGTTGTTGTTCATGTGGGTGAGGGGCCAGGCTTCATACTTGCCTCTTTCCAACAGCTGGACATGATGCAGTAGATTTCGTCGGATGCCAACTGTGGCCTGTACAGCCTGTATCCTGACAGAATCTTCTGAACCACCTCACAGCCATTAAACAGATCATATGGCATCTTTCCCAGAGTAAAGATCTCCCACATCAGAACCCCTTCAGGAGCAGAAGTAACATAATGTTACAAAGAAAATCCTTGTTATAGAGAGAGAACAGAGAAGAGAGTAACTCAAGCAACACATTAACACTTTGCAAGTAGAGGAACCAGATTTTTATGATTCGTTAATAAACCTAACTGCAAAGTGCCAGCTGGCCACCATGATATCCTTTTACCAGCAGCAGGGTGAGTAAGAGAGAAGCAGACTCATCTCCTTGGTGTTAAGCAGATATAACACAATACACATTTAAATTTATACAGTGCCTTGCACATCAGGAGCATGTCCTAAGGTGCTGGACAATATCAGTATTGCCCACTGGCTCTACAATATATTGTCAATTAAAGACAAATCCAGTTTAATGTGTCCTTTTTTAAAAAAAACACACAAATTACACTTTTCCTTTTGTAGTAAAAGGAGAGCCAAAATGGTAGATCAAATTATCTGACTGTGGAAAGTTTACCCATACCCCATTCACATCCTTTACTGAGAATCAGCAGACAAGATAGATTTGATACAAGTGCATCCTTCCAAGATGGTAATAACATACCTTGTGGATACAGAGCCAAAAAGCAAAAACAAGTTTGACTAAAGCTGTGTTTTACCCAGATGGATTCATTATTAAACAAGCTAAAAGTATATTTATATACTTGTATGTCTGTCAGTGCGAACAATAAAAACACTTTTGTTTTGAGATTAAATTTTCAGTACTGCTTAGGTTTCAAGCTCACATGCATTCTTAAATTACATTGACACAGTAGTATGCTATTATTACAATATTTCTCTTTTCCCGATTGCATAAGCAATGTATTAGAATCAAACACCCGATTCAATCAAGTGTGAGCTCAGAGGCACAGTGACTCCAAATGACAGCAGAACTCATAGAGAACAGATGTTTTATAGGAATGCAGCAATCCAGTGTGTACAATAAAGGCATGCATTGTCCTGTATTTATTCAGCGTTAGGAATGCACAGCATTAGTGCAGAAATAACGCTGGCATTGTCAGTTTCATAAGCTGCCAGGACGTTTATTGCCCAACAAAGAATGTGCAAAAATCTGACTGCCCTGAGGTAGAAATCTGGGCAACATCTGCTTACCAAAGGCCCACACGTCTGACTTGCTGCTAAATTTTGAGAAAGAAATTATCTCTGGAGATGACCACTTCACTGGAAATTTGGTCCCTGTAGAACTTGTGTACTGATCATCGAGAACATACCTAAACATTAACAACAGAGCAGAGTCAGAGACATTTGTTTGAAATGTGTTCCCTAAGGAAATCTAATATGCTTGTCATTTAGTACGTGCAAGTGCAAAAATTTCCTATATCTATGGTGTAGCTCCCACAACATAACTTACAATGATATAGTACCTTTCACGTAGAATATCTTCTCGGCGACCCTCACAAGGATGGGGTCGGAGGCCGAGTGAGGAAGGAGGGGGAAGGGAAAGGTGACTGTAAGTTACACAATGAAACAGGTGAAATTCCAATTTAAGGATTCATTAACTGTGGAGCTTGTAGGCTTTGTGCAAACTTCCTTGAAGATCAGAGAGAAAAAGAGGACTGATATAGAATATGTTAGTGAGTGGATATGCTGCAATCAGACATGGGCTATTGGTCTGTCAGTCTCCACATGGCAAGGCCTTCTTAAAGCCAAAATTTCTCAGGCAATGCCGTAAAATTCAAACTGGTGCAGAATTTTGTAAAATTATTAATTTTAGTCTTAAATTGAATTCCAGTTGTCTATAGTTGTTAGATTTTGCTTTGTTAAAACACCAGAGTAGAGAACAGCAATTTCATGCCTCATTCTCACATCAATGTGTTTTAATATTCCTCTCAAAACACCTCAGATAAGGACTGGATTCATGTTGAACATTTAAATAGCATTAGGGAGAGAAGGATTTGCATTGTGGTGTTAAGGTAGTTAACACTCCTGCCTCTGAGTCAAAAGGATGTGAGTTCAACCACCACATTGACACTTTGAGCTCAGTGCTGATTGTGTGCTGCAATGTCAGAGGTGCCATTCTTCAGATGAGATATTAAAACCCAGGTCCCAGCCAGATATACCAGTAATATGGAAGATTTGTGATTTGAGCACCTTTTCAACCCCCACTGACCATAAAATGAATGCTTTCTCTGTTGTGTTAATGTTTGACTTCAGATTATGCATATGATTACCTGGCCATCCCAAAGTCAGATACCTTAACAGTCAGCGTTTTATCAACCAAGCAGTTTCTGGCAGCCTTAGGAAAAACAAAAGCAAAAACCATTCAGGATGAACATTTTATTTCATCGAACATCGTGAAGAGTAATGCTGTACAATGTCGAGCGCCTTGGGACGTCCTCCCGACGTGAAAGGCGCTATACAAATGTAATCTTGTTGTTGTTGTTGAATAGAGACAAAGAATCAGATCTGTGAGTTCGAATATGGAACCAAGTTAGTTGCTTAAGATTTAAATTGCTCGAAACATATCAGTTTGCAAATACTAGCAAATTTAGTAAAAAACAAACATTACTATCTCTTTTCAAGTTCAGGATCCTTGACCTGATATTCAAATGTCTCTATATGCTAACACTATCCTATTTAAGCGATCTTCTCCCGTTCTATGTTTCAGGTTGTAACTGCTGACTCTAGTCTACTGCTTCCTCCTCATTCCCATCACACCAGCAGTGGTCTTCCGAGCTTGAAGCTACTATATCCTGGTCCTCTTGAATTCTCTACCAAAACCATGTTACCTTGCTATGTCTCTCCCTACCGAGAAACATATCTTTTAATATGTCTTTGCTCACCATTTTAATCCCTTACTTCCTGTTTGTTGTACACCCTGTATATGTAGAGCATTTTGAGGTATTCCTTCAAATTGTTACAATACTGGCTCTGAAGCAGCAAAGTTCTGCATTAAAGGGAGAAATACCGAGCTGTTTATTTGCACATTTATTTCCAATGAAGATTTTCAATCTAACACTTACTAAATCTCTGTGTATGAATTGTAGATCCTCTAAGTAGGTCATGGCGTCAGTTATATCATAGCACATTTCCACAAACTGGAACTGGTTCAATGTCTTCCCATCACTCTTGAGGTAGCTCAGCAAGCAGCCATTACTCATAAACTCTGTCACTATGTAGATTGGATATTCCTTGGTGCAAACCCCATACAACTGGACCAAATTTGGGTGCTTGAGTTTCCTAAACGGGAAAAGAAAAATCTATCAGCCCAAAGGCAACATGGATAAAATAACTGGAAGTTATTAAAATGAGAAGGATGATTGCTATAAATATTATATAGATTATTATTAAGTATTAGTTCTGCAGATATAAAATATTGTCATCAAATCTGAGTAATCCCACTAGAATTCCTGTTGATCATAGATAGTAGGAACTCCAGAAGAGATCCAGTTCCCAATGAGGAGTGAATGTGTTAGAATGTACAATTTTTGTATACTGCTAGAATCATAATAGATGCTGTGAATGGGCTAACTTTTAAGTTAAGTGTGGGGGACAACTGGACTGACAGTCATGGTATAGGACTCATCTGGTTTTCTCTGTTTTTGAAAGAATAACAGACAGGGGCAGGGGGTCACCTCTTATCAGTAAATGACAACAAGCCACAGAGGTAACGGTCCAAGGTACCAGTCGACACAGGATCTCGACTGAGCAATAAGTCGCTAGATTCTGACAGGGCCTGCCAACCGACAGAAGGCAACCCTCAAGAATAGCAATTAATGAGCAAGTTGCTTAAACTAGAGGGCCTTGGTACCATCCCGGGATACTGATAAGAAATAACCAGTCACTTAAAAGGAATGTACTAATGATCCCACACCACAAAATAATGAGCACCAGATAGTCCTAAACTGATCAATCCTCTATCTTAGACAATTAGATCAGATAACAGGGGTCTCAAGGACAATGTGTATGTGCGCTGAGGCACGTACACCCCATGAGGTCCTCACGTACACCCGGCATGATTTCGACAGGTGATCTAATGTCCGCACCATGATTGGATGAACATTAGTATAAAAGTTCCGTTAACTTTGTGTACGGTGCCGTCCCGGGTCGTGGAGACAAGGATAAGGTAGATGGGGCCGTCCCAGGTCGTAAAGACAAGGATAGGGGAGATGGAGCCGTCCCGGGTCGTGGAGACAAGGATAGGGGAGATGGGGCCGTCCTAGGTCGTAAAGACAAGGATAGGGGAGATGGAGCCGTCCCGGGTCGCAGAGACAAGGATAAGAGAGATGGAGCCGTCCCGGGCTGCAGAGACAAGGGTACGGAGATGTAAGACTGAGAGCTGGAAACACTAAGACTGAGGATATCAGATGGAAGATTGAAAGCTGTAAGCAAGAAGACTGAAAGCATGAAGAATCAAGTTTGTGTGCTGGAAAGACACAGTGTTGAACTCTAGAACTCGAGATATCTATAGTGGTGTTATTCTGTTGTAAGATCTGTTGATTGTACCGGCCTTTGGTCTGACCCATCGGGATATTGGGGAATAACGAACGAATAATAATAAAACAGTCTGATATCTGGTTAGAGGAATTAGCATTATTTCCTTACAGATTTGGCTGATTTTATTTTCTAACAAATTGCATTCTGCAGGTAACCCAGACTTAAGCTATTTTTGGCCATTCACTCCAATGTTTTACTGTGTCCGAGGATGCATGCACATCTTGGAGCCAGTACTTATTATTCATCGTATTGAACTCCTTCATGCCAGTTTGTGATACGTATACAGACCCTATCTCACCATTCTACTTAAACCACTTCTGGTGATTAAAGCTGCTACTCACATCATGATTTCAGCTTCTTCAAGGAACTCATCTTCTGACATTGAGCCTTCTTTTATCATCTTAATGGCCACATTGTATTTCTGCTTCCACATCCCCAGCTGCACCACTCCAAACTGCCCGCTTCCCAGCTCCTTCAACAGTTTGATGTCTTTACGTTTAAGTTCCCATTCACCTGCACTCAAAAGATCCACATTTTGAGAAAATAAAGAATGTGAAAAGAGCATTCAGTCCAGCAGGGTCATTCCCTCCACAGAAAGCGTATCATTTTGTGAACGCCATGTATCCACTGGGATTCCCAAAGATAAAATCTTCATCATCCACACATTCACTATTTAAATCTTGGCATACTTACCCTCCACAGAAAACAACCTCTCATCCTCTTCCCCCAGCTCCAATTAGAAATCATTAATACTTAATGATGAATGATAATTAATTGATAATAATTATCAACAATGATAATAATCATTAATAAACATTCCAGGTTGCTAGCCATGTGGAGAGCACTATATAAGTGTGAGTTGTTGTTATTAATAAATGTTCTTTGCACATTGCCATCTATGATTTTTGTTTAAGTTGTCCTTTTAATGAATCTCGCTTCTCAGTTCTTTAATGTATTAAACCCTTAATGTGTTTATTGCCCAGGGGTTTATCCAATTCACTATAGAATGATTGCATTGATCCAGGCTCAACAGCCAGTTGAATTTCACGTGCTTTTTCTGAGTGGAAAAATCCTTTGTAACCTCTCCTTGCTTTTTCTGCTTCTTCCAGTGAGTATTTAATCAGAGTATTGCACTGGAAAGGAGTGAACTTCAGTAGAATGTTTTGAGAGACTGTTCTGGCAAGAGGCCAGAAGGAATGACTCTGGAAGAGCAAAAAAAAACTTGATGAATCTTTACAATAAAGTTATGCTCAGCAGATTTAATAGTGGAATTACAAGAGCAGAAATAAAGTTGGCTCAGGATTCTGCAGACTGATCAAGATGCCAGTTTTAGTAACCAAAGGTTGATGAGATACAGATGATAGATTTTTAAAAACTAAAGGGTTTAAGGGATATAGGGATAGGGTGGGTAAGTGGAATAAGGTTAGAAAATCAGCCAGGATCTCATTAAATGGCGGGACAGGCTCAAGGGGCTGAGTGGCCTACTCCTGCTACTATTTCTTATGTTCTTATGAGAGGTAAGGCTGAATCACAGTATAGGATTGCAGGAGTGAGGTATGAACCTTCCATGCTAGTTAGACTAACATTGATCACTTTACCAGCACAGATCAGAAGAGAGGTAGCATTTGGACCTGGGAAAAGCATCAAAGAATTTTCTAAGACTATCCCAATTGGCTAATTTATACTGTAATATAAAAGAAGAGCAGTCTCACTGAAAGACTGTTCTTTTTTGGCACATGTATGAACAATAACCTCTGCAACAAAGTACTGGGCAATGGAGGATTCCTTTGGAACATACATAATCATCAGACAGTATCTGTAGGGGAAAGAGGGGAGAAAATTGTGTGTGTGGAAACATCAAAAGAATAAAGCATCAAAGGATAATTTTGCATACTACACTTTTAACTGTACTTATCAAAAAGACATGTGTAAGTTCACTTATTACCGTCAAAAGAAACTGGAACTTTATTTGTTTTAATGGTAACTGGTTGTCGTAGTCTTGTAACCAATCCTAGGTAGAATATCAAAAAAAGGAGGTAAGTGAGTTTGTTGCAAGAGAGATGACGCAAAGATGACAATCCTTTACTGGAACACAAAAACAATGACAGTGAATGAATTCAGATTTGTTCAGGTTTTTGATGAGAATAAAATCTATTAAGATTAGGAGGTATGGTTAAAGGTTTGCTGTGTGTGCAAAATGTTAATAACATTTTGAGATATGTATCTGCATTGAGCATTGCCAATCCTCAAATAGAATATAACCCTGAAGCCATTCTTTTTATAGAGGATGCGTGCCAGGTTGCAAATAACTGAGCGGCTGAACTCAGTATGCAACTGCTGCTCGCACACTCAGTGCTGCCAGTGATAAACAGTACTTATGTTATATGAACTACCAAACCACAAAGTATTCAGCATTTAATTGCAGACAGATGCCACATCAGGGTCACAACAGGCTGCATTGTGACACTGATGCCTTTGCTAACTGTGTCTTAAAAAATATTCTAAGATGGTGGGGGTGGGGGAGGAAATAAAGGTAAGGTGGTCTCACTTAGCTTAAATATATTCCGAGAGTAATAAATGGCAAAACTAGACAGGTCCACAGCGAATACAAGGTAATCAGACCGTAATAATAATAAATAATAATAATCCCATTTGATACAGAACATTTCACATCAGAAGGACATCTCGAAGTGCTTCACAGGGTACACTATGCAGTGACTATGTATTTGAAGTAGTTTGTGAATGAAATTTGGAGGTGTAAATGTGTCCTTAACCCTGCAAGCTGAAGGCCTTACCTGGACAAGTTCTTTGCTGTACTGTTACCACTTTTACTACTTTATGCTGCAAGGTTATTTTAATATAACCTACCATGTGCTCTTTGGAATTGTGAACTACTGGATGTAATGCATCACTTTCCATCCCATACCCTGTTGTACAAAAGGTGTTTGTTCGTGACAGTAAATAATGACTTGGTGCTGGCATTTGAGGATTCACCAGACCTGTGGGAGACCTAAATGAAGCATGTATATTCTGTGAAATGCTTTGAGATGTCTCAGTGTCTTGCTATATCAGATGCAAGGAGTATTATCAGGTTTCCACAACTTGAACTTATGTTGGTTTTTTCTACTTAATGTTTGAGATTGGCTCCATCACATAAAAATCACTAAAAATATATATGACGGAGAATGAAATAAATAGAAAGTTGTTCCCAGAGATTATAGTACAATAGATCATTTTGTTGAATTAATAAATTATTCTCATGTACTTCTATGGTCCCTGAAATCTAAAGATCCTGAATCTATGGTCCTGAAATCTCTATTAAAGGATACAGGGATCAAGGGATATGGGGATAGGGCAGGTAAATGCGATTAGGTTAGAAGATCAGCCATGATCTTATTAAATCTTGGGGCAGGCTCAATGGACTGAATGGCCTACTTCTGCTCCTACATCTTGTGGTCTTATGAAATACTAACTTGTCTTAGCCCATAGGGCCATTCTATCACAAAATGTAAGATTGTACAGAATTGTGGAAAATTCTTGAATTCTTAATTCGGAAGCTGGGATTTTTTAAAGAACTGCAGAAAATTTCAAATTCAGACCAAGTTTAACAATTTTCGACAATTCAACACAATTCTTAAATTGTAAGGCAAAAAAGTTTTACAGGCTAAGACTGGTGGAATTTTAGATTTTACATTTTTTCCTTGAAGTCTGTTAAGTTCTTACCTCCTGAATTGTGCTGATGATACTTAATAAGTTCTGGTATTGTATCAAATAGGTGATCCTCTGCCAAAAAATATTTCTTTTCCTCCGTAAGATTTATGTGGTAATGTCTAATTGTGCCTTTTTTATCTCTGTAAATATTGAACCAAATGTATTGATTTAAAAAAAAGCAATAACCAGCATTCATTTCATTTACATAGATCAAACCGCAAAAAATAATTCGGTTATTTTCATTCAGCTACAATAAATCTAAAATGAGATTACTGTACAATGTTAACATTTCCTTAAAGCTACATATAAAACAGAGAAAGATCTACCTAACATTCTGAATGGAGTGGAATACCACTTAGACAACCGCAATCAATTAGCTACCGGAAGCAGAACAACAGTCAACATGAGCTCAGGTCAGATTACTATTGTTTGTGGCTTTAAAGTGTTTTATCAAATGCTATTATTTTACTACTTTGAAGCAGACAGCTATAGAAAATTCGCTATAGCATAACAGGAAGTATAGAATGAGGAAATGGAACTGCGACAAATTAAAGGAAGATAAGAACTGAGGGTAAACATAAGTTAACCACAACAATGCGCCTTTATATAGCATGCTTCACACAGGATAGCATCATGAAGTGTTTCACAGTGGTGGAATGCTGAGCAAGGGAAAAGGGGAGTGGGAGATGACCATAAATTAATAATAAATAATATTCTTTGTATGTGATATAGCACTTTTCACATCTTCTCGACGTCTCAAAGCGCTTCACAGAATATGCTGTAAAGCGAATTGGTCGTATATTTGTGGGCGAAACGCGGCAGCCAATTGCGCACAGCAGTGTCCCACAAACAGTCGTGGATTGAAAATGACCAATTTATTATTGTTTTGTTTTGGAGGGATTATTATCAGGCGTGTGGAGTAAGGAAACTTGCCCAAGATTTCACCCTGCCTGGAATTGAACCTAAATTAAATTAAATTTAAATTAAGTTAAATTAAAGGGAGATTACCCAGGTAATAAGTAATAGGATCCAAGCAAAAGATGAGGATTGGTAACCAAAATGTCAAGACAATATACTGATGTAATAACCCAGCAACATGCTATTTAAAATTACACTTATTATTTTAGGACTGAAAATTTGTCACAAATTTCTCAACCAGCAGAATTTTAAGGTAAAGCATTCTTTTTATTTGTTTGCCATACTTATTCATTGACTCATTAAAGATTTATTGTATAAGAATTATTTGTTAAAAAGCCTTTTTAGAGCTAACAAACTATCTACACCTCTGAATATCTGTGGTGTCCCAGTATTCTTCTGTGATAGTTTCAGATTATCCTTTGCTGTATAGCAATGAGAGATTCATAATACTTACTCAAGAGCCTTAGTGAAGACTGAGACCACATAGCCATTTCCTTGATTGGACTCCCTAACAATGAATCCACCCTCCTTGTCCTGAAACAGAAAGAAATATCAACAAAAACAGGAAAATATTCAAAGACAATACAGAGGATACCAAGTAAATTAATGATAAGCTCATAAACAATGTTAAGAAAAGTCATAAACACATAGCATTTTGTAAAATAAGCTATCCTAGACCTAACAAACAAACTCCAGTCTGCTCATAATAATATAACAATAATCCTTGCATTTGATACAGTGCCGTATCACGTCTTCGAGACGTCTCAAAGAGCTTCACAGAATATACTGTAAAGTGAATTGACTGTATATTTTGTGGGTGAAATGAGGTGAAAAATGCAAGATTTCAAAACCGATTCAATGATTATCAAATAAGATTGTCAAATTGTTATGAAACATTGATCTTTCCATGTATTTCTGAACAATGGCCACAACTGCATTCTTTCCGGCTTTGTAGGTAACAGTAGGTACGTTAATATCAATGAGGAAGTGAAACAGAGATAAAGGCTATGCATATCATATATAAGGTATATTTGAAGATATAAACATTATATATATTATTTTTATATATACAGTTTTAAATGTGTTGTGCTAGTTATTTGTGTATCAGATTATGGTAATTGAATGCACTGTTTAATTATCCATTGTGGAGTCCTGTAGCTCAGTGGTTAGAGCACTCGCTTTGCAAGCGAGAGACCTGAGTTCAATTCCAGGCAGGGCAAAACCTTGGGCAAGTTTCCTTGAAATTGAACTCAGGTCTCTCGCTTGCAAAGCGAGTGCTCTAACCACTGAGCTACAGGACTCCACAATGGATAATTAAACAGTGCATTCAATTACCATAATCTGATACACAAATAACTAGCACAACACATTTAAAACTGTATATATAAAAAATATATATAATGTTTATATCTTCAAATATACCTTATATATGATATGCATAGCCTTTATCTCTGTTTCACTTCCTCATTGATATTAACGTACCTACTGTAACCTACAAAGCCGGAAAGAATGCAGTTGTGGCCATTGTTCAGAAATACATGGAAAGATCAATGTTTCATAACAATTTGACAATCTTATTTGATAATCATTGAATCGGTTTTGAAATCTTGCATTTTTCACCTCATTTCACCCACAAAATATACAGTCAATTCACTTTACAATGTGTTCTGTGAAGCACTTTGGGACGTCCTCCCGACGTGAAAAGCGCTATATCAAATGCAAGGATTATTATTATTATTATTAAGAACATGTGCTGTAAAAACAATAGACGAATTTAAGATGTTACCATTTCTTTTAGAAGCTGCTCCGCTTGGGTTCGCGCTACACTGCCTGCATGCCATCTAAAAGCAGAAGAGAAAACATTTAGAAAGAATACAATTGAATAAAGTAACTTTTAAAGCTAGGACCTTGATATTTGTTACAGTAAAGTTGTGAAACCAGGCATTTTACAAAATCCCTAAAATTTTCAGTAAAATTGTAAAACCATGAAATCACTGAAATTAGGAGTCGGGGATTTTGTGAAAAAGTGATCATTTCATCATATTGATAACCTTGCCTTGATGCATTATCAACAATAACACATTATGAAAATTAATATTTTATTCACAATAAACTTCATGTGACATTTCATTGACCGATGAGTCAAACGTTCATTTGTTAAGTGAGCCTTCCACGACACTAGGAGTTACATTTTAACTTTGCTTTGAGCGTTTACAACGGTTGGTCTGACATGTCTTCTGACCATGCTTATACTTTGTAAAGCCTTGTCCACAACAAACAGACTGTGCAGTGGTAGCTTCACGGAGTGACACTGACTGCTCCTGGTTGACGCAAGTCTCTGTTAACAATCATTGTGGGCAAAGGTCAAATTGGTTCCTTGAATAGTGATCCTGTAGCTATCCAGTATCCTATAGGAGTCCTGTAGCTCAGTGGTTAGAGCACTCGCTTTGCAAGCGAGAGACCTGAGTTCAATTCCAGGCAGGGCGAAACCTTGGGCAAGTTTCCTTACTTCACACAGAGCCTAATAATAATCCCTCCAAAACCAAAAACAATAATAAATTAGTCATTTTCAATCCATGACTGTTTATGGGACATTGCTGTGTGCAATTGGCTGCTGCGTTCGCCCACAAATATACAGTCAATTCACTTTACAGTGTGTTCTGTGAAGCGCTTTGGGACGTCCTCCCGACGTGAAAAGCGCTATATCAAATGCAAGGATTATTATTACTATTATTATCCCTCAGGAAGCCGGCCTTCGCTGCTACCGTGTACTAGTCAGTGTCTAAATCTCTTAATGATAACACCAAGGATGTTCCTGGGATCCCCTCTACCCTTGTACACTGCTGGGATCACTTTTCCACTAAATCCCTGACTCCTAATTTCAGTTATTTCATGGTTTCACAATTTACTAAACATTTCAGGGAGTTCACAAAATCCCTGGTCTCACAATTTACTGAAACATATATATGTTACCTAAAGCAGGTGGGTACAACCTGGAAAGTAGATTAAAATATCAGATGAGTTGAAGGATGACTTACTCATCCAAACCAATCTTATGATCTGTGAACTGGCCTGGGAGCTGAACCCAGGAAAGCTGGACACCAGTAAGTTTGCAATAATATCTCAAAGTCACTGTCCCTTCACAGTATCAGGCAGATCTTGACTGACATTCAAACCAGTTGCACACAAACCAGTTAAACTAAACCTAAGTCTCTGTGGGATACATGTAGCATCTCATCAAACTTCAGAAACATTTAGATGTAGACCAAGAGGTAGGAGGATCTGGAACTTACAAGTGATGAAACCAATGTAACTTACTCATAGTCTTCTACATTTTCTGATTCCTTTGATGAGTTAGTTCTGGATATAATGCTGCTTGTTTCCCTGTGAAATAGGAACAGTAAAACAAAGGAGTGTATCTAATCTGATGGATTATATGTGCAACAACAACAACAAGATTACATTTGTATAGCACCTTTCACATCAGGAGGACGTCCCAAGGAGTTGGACAGTGTACAGCATTTTAGACCCGAGCTGGGATCAGGTGGGGAGAAGGGAAGGGAGGGAAAGGAGGGTGGCCAATGGCATGGTTGAAGACCAGGGTCTTGAGGCGGGACTTGAAGGAGGCTAAGGAGGGGGCGAGGCGGAGTGATTGGGGGATGGAATTCCAGAGGTTGGGGGCAGAGTGGCTGAAGGCTCTTCCACCAATGGTAGGGCGGGTAGGTCGGGGGACGTGGAGCATGCCAGAGCTGGCTGAGCGGAGGGAGCAGGTAGGTTGGTAGGGGGTTAGGAGGTCACAGAGGTAGGGTGGAGCAAGGCCATGCAGGGCTTTATAGGTGAGGACCAGGAGCTTGAACTGGATCCTCTGAAGGATAGGGAGCCAATGGAGTTGAGCGAAAATGGGGGAGATGGGGTCACAGAGTTTGGTGCGGGAGAGGACATGGGCTGCAGAGTTCAGGATTATCTGCAGCCTGTGGAGGGAAGGCTGACAAGCAGGGCATTTGCATAGTCAAGCCTGGAGATGATGAAGGTATGAACAAGAACGGAAGTGAGGGAAGGCAGAGCAGGTCATGGTTTGGATGTGGGGAAGAAAAGACAGTTGAGGGTCAAACAAGACACCCAGGTTCCTGACTGGTTTGGTGAGTTGAAGTGTGCAACCATGGAGGTTGGTGCTGCCAGAGCCTGAGGTGCTGAGGCGCTGGCGCGAGCCAATCAGGAGGGCCTCAGTTTTGTTCACATTCAACTGTAGGAAGTTTATCCTCATCCAGGACTTGATGTCTGACCGGCAGTCTGTCAGGACAGCAGTGGTCCTGGAGTTGAGGGTGGAGGAGAAAGATAGAGTTGGGTGTCATTCGTATACATATGGAAGTTGATCCCATGTCTGCGGATGATGTCACCAAGGGGAGCATGTAGATATTAAAGAGGAGAGGGCCAAGGACAGAGCCCTGGGGGACGCCATACGTGACAGTGCGGGGGCTGGAGGGGAAACTGTTATAGGCAACAAAATGGAGATGGTTAGAGAGATAGGAATCGATCCAGGCAAGGGCAGGTCCGCAAAGATTAAGTAAGGAGGAGAGGCAGTGTATGAGGATGGAGTGATCGACAGTGTCAAAGGCAGCAGAGAGGTCAAAGAGGACAAGGAGGCAGAGGGAGCACTGATCACAGCTGTTCAGAATGTCATTAGTGACTTTGACCAGGGCAGTTTCCGTGCTTTGGGCAGCGCGGAAGCCAGATTGGAGGGGTTCAAAGAGAGAATGGCGAGAGATAAAGGAACAGAGCTGGGACGCGATGACTCGTTCCAGGACTTTGGAGAGGAATGGGAGGTTAGAGATGGGATGGTAGCTGGAGAGAAGGGATGAGTCCAGGGAAGATTTTTTCAAGATGGGGGTGATGACGGCTGTTTTTAGGTGAATGGGAACTGAACTGGTGGACAAGGAGAGGTTGATGATATCGGACAGGAGAGGGGCCAAAAGGTGGAGCTGGGAGATGAGGAGAGAGGTGGGGATGGGATAGAGGGAGCAGGTGGTGGGTTTAACTTTGCAGACAGTCGTGGTGAGGGAGGAGGGAGTGATAGGGTTGAAGGAATATAGGGGGGGATGGGTGGGGGGTGGGTCATGAGGGAGAGGTGATGTGGCGGTGGCTATGGACGGGACAAAGGTGGCTGAACATATTCCCTCGAATTTTGGATTCGAGGAAGTCCAGCATCTCCTCACAGTTGGAGTTTGAGGAGAGGATGGGCAAGGTATGGGAGGGGGGATGGAGGAGATGGTGGTGAAAAAGAGAAGCCGGGGGTTGCCCTTTGCCTCCAAGATAACCTTGGAGTAGAAGGAGGAATTGATGGAGGCAAGAGCACATCGGTAGGTCTTGGTGTGGTGAAGCCAAATCTGCTAATGGACCGTTAGTTTGGATTTGGTCCAGGCACGTTCAGCAGCTTGCACTTGTGTCTTGAGGGAACGGAGATGGCTGGTGTACCAGGAGGATTTATGGGAGTATGAGGCAGTGCGGGAGGTGAGGGGGGCAAGAGAGTCCAGAGTGGGAGGAAGTTGTGGAGAAAAGAGAGTGAGGAGGGGGGATCGGTCAGTGAAGGCCAGAGGTGTAGGAGTTCAGATGACTCCAGAGCAGTGGAATGTGAGAGGGAGGAATTTTTTTTCCATGGATGGTATGTGATGGTGGAGGGTTGAAAAAAGGTTAGGGAGGGGTACGGAGGTGTTGAGGGAGATGAAGTGGTGGTCCGAGATATCTCTATTGGTGATGTCCAAGACGGTGAGGCCCAGGGTGATCACCAGATCAAGGGGGTGGCCATGGTCATGGGTGGGGGAGTGGATGAGGAAGGAGAGGTTAAGGGAAGAGGGTTAAGGGAAGAGAGGAGGGAGGAGAAGTCAGCAGAGGTAGAGCAGGAGGGGGTGAAGTGGAGGTTGAAGTCGCCTAAGATTAGGAGGCATTCAGAGCAGATGGAGAGGGAAGATAGGAGGGTGGAGATGAAGGTGGGGAAAGGGTTGGGGGGATGGTAAACAACGAGGATTTTGAGGGAAAGCCTGGAGGGGTGGTAGAGGGTAAGGTGTTCGAAGGAGGGGAAGGTTCCGGAGGAGTTTGGAGAAAGGTCGAGAGGGGGACCGGGAGATGAGAGCACACCACCGCCTTGGTGATTAGGCCATGGGGTTTGGTGGAAGGTGTAACCTGGAGGTGTGGCCTCAACTAGTGGGAAGGTGTCGCCTGGGGTGACCCAGGTTTTGGTGAGAGCGAGGATGTCGATATTTTCCTCAATGGTGAGGTCGTGGATTGTGAGGGACTTGTTAGTAGTAAGGGGACATTCTGCAAACTGATGCGGAGGGGACAGTTAATGGTGGGAGTGTGGGCAAGATGAGGGGGGGAACGGGGTGGGCAGATGGGTTGGATGGGGATGTGAGTGAGGGAGGAAAGGTTGGCTCCCATGGGTGAGGGCCAGTGGGTCTTGCGGCGAGAGTGGGGAAAGGGGCAGTCAGGGTGGGTGCTTTAAGATAGCCGACGGCATCTAACACCGTGGGCACGACGGAGAATGTGAAGGGAGGAGCAGAGGGAGGCCGTGGCGGAGTCGAGCAGGGATAGGAGTCAGGGCAGGTGGAGGGAGGGGAGGGTTGAGCGGGAGTAGTGGAGGGAAGGGGATGGGGTCGGGAACATCTTGGGGAAACAGCTCAGGTCAATGGCGGTAGCCAACGTGCGCATGTTGATACTCGGAGCGGACAGGAGTGTTCAGAGAGCCATGGTTAGCCTGCTGGTCTGGGCTGGTGAGGCTCAGTGAGGAGAAGGGGGCAGTGATGGGGGCAGTGATATCTTCCCAGGGAGTCCTGGCCTCGAGATTCAAATGAGGCAGGCGGAATGGCTGTTTATCAGTTATTCAACCACATTTGGTTTTCACACAGAACCCAATTTGGACAATTATTATTACAAGAGCAATTGTACTGGAATTGTAAATATAAATACTGCAACTGGAGTGGAAGACTTAGTTCAGCTCCAATCTCTACCATTCTCAGGCCCCAATGACTGTAGAAGTTGATCTAATCTCTAATCAGTATCATACCAAACCCCACAATCCCTCCTCTTGAGAAGAGCATGCTATGTCTCCATGTAGTAGATGAAGTTGCTAAATACATTCTAGGTAATAGTAATACAATAATAATCCTTGAAGCTGATATAACACCTTATCACATTGACACACAGTTTTCTGTCAAGTCCTCCAGCAATGCAGTGTTCCCCCAGCACTGTACTGGATTAGCCTAAAGTGAGTTCAAAGATCTGTTGTGGGGCTTGAACCCACACTGAGAGGACAGTGCTACCAACTGAGCCAGGCTGACACTTAACTAACTTATGACCATTAAAAACAATCATTATGACCCCTAGATGTTATGAAACCTTTATTACATTCACTTACCCAGATTCTTCTATTTTGGTACAGTTCACAGCAAAGTAACTGGAGGGAGCATATCCTTCTCTCCTATAAACCACAAAAGTAAATGTGATCCTGTAAAGATTTTTTAATTTATTTGTATATTTCACTGAATCCTCTGCATATGGAATAAACTGTGCTGTAGAGTGGAAATGTTTCTCCTATTTGACATCCAGTAGCAGCATCCAGCCTAAACTTGGAATGAGTTTATTTCACAAAATCAGTTTAGCATTTATGTTTCATTATTAGATTGAAAATCTATAGCATTCATTTCACCTCATGAATTGTGCATTATTACAAGGCAAGTGCTCTAACCACTATGCCACAGGATTATTATTACTGAGAGGAATTGATGACTGTTTTCAGGCTGTATCATTCTATGTAACTCAAGTCCCAGTTCCTTGAGCATTCCTCCAACCCCATTTGTGACTGAGTCCTTGATTAAATCTCCAAAACACTGATGGGTGCAGAAAGATAGCTTTGCCTGACTAGGTTCATGTTTTGTCAAACCAGCCACCATGTTGGATTAACAAACTTTAATTTTATTAATTAAAATAATAAATTAATAATAATTAACATATTGAGATTTACAAAAGAGTACAAAAAATGATCGATCAAATTCTTCAAGGAAGGAAAGATTGTATTAATAGTGCTTAACCAACTGATCGCAGATGGGGTAACAATTGGATACTACAGTTGTCCTCAGCACCCCTGGGCTAGAGTGGAGTAAAATTGATCAGCATTCACATCATTCATCTTATCAATTACATCATAGCACTAGAAATCCTTACCCTTGCATGTCTTTCAGTTTGCACCAAAAATGATCAGTTTCCTCAATCACAAAATACTTCTTGCCCTTCATCACAGTAATCTCAGTCTTTCCTTTTCCGTCATAGCTGTACAATGCTTCCACCATCTTTAAAGATGCTTTTTCTTGTCCTGGGATATCAGGAAGCTGGATGTGTTTTCTCTGTTTAGAGAAATGTATATTTTAAAAAATCCACTCTATAGGATCAAATTCCACCTTATATTAGGCTATAAGATAACTTTGTTTAAAATATATGACTGCACCGCAAATTATAATTTCATTCATAATTTGGGAATCAGTTCTTCTGAAGAGCTGTTGAAAACCAGCTTGCAACTGAAGAACTAGGAATTTTCTACAATTCTCCAATGACCTTAAATTTTAAGGGCAAATTGTGTTACAGGCTAAGACTAGGTGGAATTTCAGGCCTTATGAGAGATGTGTGTGAATTTTTATTTTTGATATGAATTTTATTCCATGTAAGTTCAATACCTGTACATTAACCTCTTTCAAGAAAATTTGAAAATGTTTTTCTTCTTATTTGCTCATAGTTTTGTTCCCTTTTCTCCTGGAAGGAGTACCTCAATTTTTCAGTCTGTACTCAGGTAGCTGATCTCAGGTGGGGTAACAATTGGCTTTCATAGTTGTCCTCAACACCAGATCTTAATTGACACGTTGGTGTTAACGTGTCCCAGCAAGGCAAAAGGCACCCCACGGCGAATATTTCAGACAGGAATAGACCATTTCTTAATCCAGTTTTACTCAACTAACTTCTGCAAAGCATTCTTCAACACTTCTTTGCTCAGAGAGCTGGTGCACACTTGATGGGACAAATGGCTTCCTTCTGCCCTGTAAGCTTCTATGATTCTATCTCATCAAAACATACCTCTTAACTCTGCTTTCCTCTCCTCACCTCTCAACTCCCACCTCCAGTTCATGTGCCCATCCAGCATTGTCAATTGCTTTGAGATGTCCTCCCGATGAGAAAAGGGCTATATGAATGTAAATTGAATTGCACTGTTCTAATCCAAATATTTGTCTTTTTGAAACACCTTATTGCACCATTTGTGTTGGCAGTTGGTTTTACAGGATTATGACTATTTTACTAAAAACATTTTTCCTTGCACTTCCTAGTCACTTTTGTTGTCTATTTTGAAACTATGGCCTTCATTTTAAATATACCATTTGATGGGCTGACCATTAATTTTTTGCCTCAAACAAATATAAACAATCTGCAGAATATCAGCTATACAATGGCATAATGAGCCTGTCATACACCAGGTAGCAAAGCATAATGTTGGGAACATATTAGGGAGTGTCACAATGTGCCCCAAATCAACTGATCAGTGAACAAAGAAGCTTTGTCATATTCAGCAGGGATTATTTGCCTATCATTAGAGTTAAGCAAAGTAATGTGTGAATGGGAAGGAACCATCCTATTACTCTGATATTGTTGCATTTGAAAAAAAAGTCATTCTTGTACAATAGTACTTGCTGGACAAACGGAAATAAACCTTAATTGGAGTATAAAGTGTGACCTGAAATGTGTTAATTATGATTGAAAAAATTGTCCATTCTATGCCTTGATTTATTAACTGGTTCAGAAATATGACACCTCCGCCGACTGTCACAATAGATGGGTTTGAAGCTGCCCATGATGGCCTGTGGGTTAACTTTGACTTATTTTTGTTGAGTTCGGTATTTAATTAACCATCAGTCCAATGCCAGTTTCTGCAGCATTGAAGAGTCAGGCCTGACCACTGTGATTTAGTCAGGTGGGATCACATCAGTGAGAAGACTCATTGATAAATTGGCTTATCGAACAGTTGCATTTTTCATCAGTGTGTTAATTTATACATCACAAGTTTCAACTTTTCATCCCATTATCTTAAGTCTCTGATGAGGGAACAATTAACGTTGAGTTTACAACCAATAATTCCACCAAACAATACCCTGTTCTTTGTGCTCAGTTAATTCATCCAAACTGAATTTTGTTATATTCCAAATGAATCCTGGAGGGTTCCAACACTGGAAGCAACAACAAAAATAACTTGTATTTATACAGCGCCCTTCACTTGGGGTAGCATCTCAGAGTGCTTAACAGTGGTGGTAGCTGATGCCAAGCCGGGGGAAGAGGTGACCGTAAGCAAATGTGGTTCCTATACTTACGGTAGGATTAGGTTTACATATGAGTGTGATACGCATTATTGGGTGGGGATTGCTTTGTATTTACTAAAAATTATGACTTTTGAAAAGTAATGAATTGCGGCCTTCTGGATCTAATGCCTGAAATGCAAACTTTTGTCTCCCCAACAGTCAGCTGAATCACATTTATTACAGTTAGACCAGGCTTTTAGATTTGCTAGTACAAATTAATGGCTGAAGGGGGCTGTAACCATGGCAGGCATCTCCTGAATGTTCATATGAATCATTCTGAAGCACTCTGGACTTGTTTGGATGTACAATTTAAGATCAGATATTCAACAACAAACCCAACCTTAAAATAAGTTCACTCAACTGGCACAACAAAACAGTAAAGAGCAAATTCTTATTAGATAACTTGCACTTTGAAACCAAAGCACTGTTCACTACTCACAGTGAAGAGTTACTTTATCTGTAAGTATTCAGTGGTAATGAGGATGTGCAAACTTGTGGTCTCAGTTCATAAAATTATATCAAGATTTTTCATTATCTCAGGGATATCAAAAGTAGTCAGCAGCATTGATCACTAAAACATCTAATGGTTGGCAAAACTTTAGCCTGACTGTTACAGGTGTACATGCATGTGATTTGCTGCATTGTGCCCCTAGCCTGTCAGACTCAGAGGGAAGAACCCCAGTTTTGTTTACATAAAAATCAATGCATTGTATTGAGAATATGTTTAAACCTGAGTTTATATACATTTGCCAGGCTTAATAAGTTTTTTTTAACACTGGATTGGCACCGTTTCCCCTGATTTCAGTCCACTATGTTTTAATTCTTATTTATTACGCATTTTGATACTGACATACAGTAATGTAACATTAACAACCTTGATCCTTTATAAAAGAGGACTTGTTACTCACTATAAGTTTACTATTACCTGTTGACCTGGTAGAGGAGGGAGTGGTAATGAGCTTCTGTATTTACTGCCCATATTTTCAAATGTACCTTAAATATAATAAAGAACAACAAGAATTTCAGTGGAATTTGTATTTCAATGGTCAACAAGTTCAAGCTCACATGTTATGTACAATACACCACAGTTTAAGCAATATTTCAGTAACTTTAACATTATTGAAGAGGCATCATCACTCGCATGTTAACATTCTTTGCGAGACAGATTACCAAATCCAAATACAGGCAAGGATTCAGTCATCTGATCATCAGTATATTTACCAACCTTGCCTGGCGAGCACGTCTGATTCTCCTTTGCACCAGTTTCCAATTATAAACTCACAGTCAGAATCCATAAAAGTATCAAATTGTCGAGAATAAGGTTACCTCGTCTATGAGGGTTGGTGACATGATTGGACAACCACCCTTACCGGGGTCTATTATACTGGTTGGACCAACCATGTGCCAAAACAGATGCGTACAGAGGGAATTGGGAGTTCACGTACTTAAACATTTTAAAACCAATGAAAAGAATTGCAATGACCCCTTAATTTAATGTTATCAATAGTAACATGACAAATGTATTGTTCATGGGTACTAAGGATCCTGCAGAAAACAAACCTGTCTTTGGGACTTGTTTACAGCAAGGTGCTGATTTTGTTGTCTGTTTACAACAAAGCCACTTCCCATGTTTCCAGAAACCACAGTGGTATTTCTGTGCCAGGTTTTGATTGTTTCTGATTTCTGTGAAAAAAACACAATGTGTTATGTATAATTTATGCAGTAACTCCTTCAAGTTCATCCACTTCACGTTCACTCTATTCAAGTGCTCCGGGATGCTACCCTGAGTGCAGGGTATGGTATAAATGCAAGTTGTTATTGTTGTTTTCACAGTTCACACAAAGTCTATGCTAAAATGAACTTGACCCCACTTTATCTTGTGGTGGCAAAAAGCTCCATGAGCAAAACATCTAGAATATTCATGAATCCGCATATCATTTCACCCAGGAAACAGACACAGTCACACCAAATTTTACAGTATGTCCTGTGAAGTCCTCTGAGATGTATGTCAGAAATTTCCACATACAGAGAAGCAGCTACATGTTTGGAATTCTGTTACTTGCTGATAGCCTGTTTGTGTATAACTGTTTGAACTTTCCGGTGACAGTGACTTGGTGAGTAAATGTACCACTAAGCTGTGCACGACCAGAAAGTTGCAGATTCAAGTCAACTGATCTTAGCTGTGCCAGCTCTTGGAGAACTACAACTGGATTCAGTACAACTGGCTTTGGGAGAGGAGTACTTTGTCAGGTTCTGCCTTACTCATTCAGATCCTGATTAATTCTGGGGCATTTACATTATTTTTAAAAAAATTCAGTGTTCGGCTTTTCTTTGAAATATCAACAAAAACCTCAAACATAAATTAAACATTAAAGAATACCTGTCCGCATGCAGCTAAACATTTCATGCCAAAAATGTTTACTTACCATATTTTAATGCATTCAGCCATCTAGTTCTGCTTTGTTCGTCTTTAGCAAACAAATATAGAATTACTTCATCATACACAATCTGAAAAATATGAAATATTGTGTAAGCGTTTCAAACAATATTTGTGAACTAAACCACAATTTAGGTCTACTGTACCTAAATGCTGGATAGTTTTAGCAACTTCAGTGTGCCCCGCACCCCCACCAGTTTGGAATAATATGCAGTTAGCAGATATTATTATTCATAATAATAATAGTTTCATAGTGCAGCAGTATTGAATGAACATTGCATTATTGGAAGTTTTGACACGGAACTTCCACATGTCACAAAGATCTTGCATTGAATAATGCAAATGATGTAACCCGATTGGCTATGATTGGGCTATTTCTGAATTTCTTGGAAAATTTCATATTCAAAAGAGGTTCTTTGAATTTCGAAACCTGTATTATAGGTACAATAGACAGATAGAATCAAGAGTTATGATTTATAATTGGGGGAGTGAGTATCCAATACATGAATTAGCTGGAAAATCAAACAATACATGTATTCAATATTTGTAGGTTTATATTTTGTTAGTGCTTCCCGCCTGGTGTGCACATAGACTCTATCAACTCTACATATATTTGTGGGACATTACACACTGTCACATCACTTTACTGTACATCCCGTGAAAAGCTATGAGATGTCTTGAAGACATGATACAGCGCTATATCGATTGCAAGGATTTTTATTATTATTAGGGAAACAAGGAGGGAATCAGAAGCAATTTTAATGCTAAGATCAATGCATATCTGATCAGCAGGTTTGTAAGATTATTGGGTCATACAACACTTTATATTTAAATTTTCCATGGAGTAATTTCACTGCTTTATAATTGTAAAACTTGCAAAAAACAATAAATATATTTGGGTGTTTGTGTCTAGTCTCATTAATAAATGGTGTTATTTTTCTTGTTTATTAACTCCATATGACGTGGAGTCCTGTAGCTCAGTGGTAAGAGCACTCGCCTTGCAAGTGAGACACCTGGGTTCAATTCCAGGTAGGGCAAAACCTTGGGCAAGTTTCTTTACTCCACACGCCTAATAATAATTCCTCCAAAACAAAACAACAATTTTCAATCCACGACTGTTTGTGGGACACTGCTGTGCGCAATTGGCTGCCACATTTCGCCCACAAATATACGGTCAATTTACTTTACAACATATTCTGTGAAGCGCTTTGAGACGTCTAGAAGACGTGAAAAGCACAATATCAAATGCAAGGATTATTATTATTATTATTACTATGCAGGACTGGAGTTTCATGTGTCTTTGGATCTTACCTGAATTGGATATTGCCTCTCCACTGGAGTTGGTTCGTCCAAATTTACAATCTCGACGCACTTGATCTTCTGAATTTCAACTACTCCCTTTTTTGCCCCTTTTTTCTATCAAATGAAATCATTTTTCATGACTTTAATCCAGATATTTAAAACTACACAAATGATTTCGATAGACAGCACATAATCACATATGTATTGACTATCACCTCGGGATATATTGGTATATTTCAAACAACAACCGAATGTTCCAGAAGGTTTAATAGTTAAATGATTAAAAGTAACTTCGCTGGATGGGCTGAGGTTAGCTTCTGATTACATTTCATATTTTCCTGGGAAGATGTTCACTCCTCTGAGATAATGAGCAATCAGGTGCTTGAGCATTGATGTAAGAACAAAGGACCACAGAAAGAAAAGGCTGGAACCTCAGACACTTGCCTATCTCAAGGCCGAGAAACAAGCAGACTGTGGAAGGCTGCCCAGAAGTTGTCCATATTCTCTCTCTGGGCAAAACAGCCTGCGAAGGGTATGGGCTATCTCTGTCACCAGGGAAGGTGGAGTTAGAGAGACAGAAAAGAAAGATGTAACTTTGAAATAGTTGAAGTTGTGCAGAGGGTCTATGTATATTTACAGGGGTGAGGGAATTTACCTCCAGTATATTTACTGTTATCTATGTATATTTACAGGGGTGAGGGAATTTACCTCCAGTATATTTACTGTTATCTCTGTATATTTATAGGGGTGAGGGAATTTACCTCCAGTAAGAAAGTGACCATGAAAAGTGAAAGAGGAGGAATACTGGGTAATATGTTTTTGGTTCTCTTTGCTAGGCATAGAAGTAATAACAGTAGTAGTGGTTGATCTGTTTGAAACACAGAAATCAGGTCAGACAGTATGAGTGAGGTGCTGGGCTAAGAGCTGATTGTTTCTGTTGGGTTTCCAAGAGCCACTCTCTGTGATTCTGTGTGATCGTTCTGTGATCTCTCCAGTGTAAGTCAAGGTCTACTGTTAGTCTGGAGTACGAAACAGTGCCTGTGTTGTCGTCTCTGTATCATCAGTATTGAGGGCTGCAAGGTACTGTGAGGATCAGCTATATCTGAAGGGCGATTCCAGAGGCTGAACTCTGTACTGGTGCCGGTTAAAAAACAGATCTAGGGATTGTCTGTCTTTCGAAGTTTTATGTTACAGAATCAGTTGTCCCTGAGGGTTTTCCAGGGGCTGATCTCTGCTGTGTATTTTGAGGTGTGTTGTTTGTCTCGAGCAACCCCTGTGCACATGCTGTGTGGCAAATGTTTTGCTCACATAGATGTGTTGTATTGTTATTTTGTTCTTATATGTAGTATAATTTGATTACAGATTGTTAAACCTTATGTTTCATCTTATGCAATAAACTCTATACTCTTGCCACTGCCTATCAAACTATGTCCTGTAACTCATTGGTTAGAGCACTCGCTTTGCAAGCGAGCGACCTGAGTTCAATTCCAGGCAGAGGGCGAAACCTTGGGCAAGTTTCCTTACTCCACACGCCTAATAATAATCCCTCCAAAACAAAAAAAAATAATAAATTGGTCATTTTCAATCTATGACTGTTTGTGGGACACTGCTGTGCGCAATTGGCTGCCGCGTTCGCCCACAAATATACAGTCAATTCACTTTACAGTATATTCTGTGAAGCGCTTTGAGACGTCTAGAAGACGTGAAAAGCGCTATATCAAATGCAAGGATTATTATTATTATTAACAGGCCTCATAATAAATAACTATAATAAATAATAATAATCCTGGGTAACAGGTAGATGTCAAATTGATGTCAAATGCAGTGTTTGTGTGTTGTAGGCAAATGAAGCAGGCATTTTGCACACAAAATCCCATAAACACCAAGCAAATGAATGACCAATTTATCTGGAGAGTGGCCACCTAGGAAAGCTGAAAAAAGTTTCTTGTAGTTATTAGCCTGGTTCAGTTAATAACCCTCTTTCCTCACCGTCATGTCAGATGATTGTGGATTCAATTTCAATGGGGATCTTTAAAAATCACCTGAATAGGCAGATGGGTCAAATGTGAATATTGGTTCAATATCTATCTGAAGGGTTTCACTTTTGAGAATGCAGCGATCTTTCAGTACCACAATCTGTCAATTGAACCCAGAGGCAAATGAACCTTGCTGAGCTGTTAACAATGTGTGAGCTTTATGCATGTTCATGTTAAATTTTGCATCCAATTTGCATCATACACACTCACCAGCACACTATCATGTTATCAGAATGTGTGGTGAATGATAGTTTGTTCGTATGACTGGAAACTCAACAAAAATGTAAGGAATTGTCAAACATGGGTTTAAAAGTAAAGACTAATCCGACAAAGATGTTAAAAATAATAAATAATAGTAAATAATAATAAAGTTAATTCTTATCGCGTCATCAAAGCGCTTCATAGAATTTACTCTAAAGTTTAGTGTATTAGTTTTTCTGACAGTGTATTTGTGTTTATGTTCAACCCACAAAATGAGCATCTGAGATCTTTCCATTGAACACATCTCTACATAAGGTTAATAAAAATATGATTGCCTTACCCCATTTTTGTTGTTATAGTACAAGAGTTGTGTTTTGGTCAAAACAAATATGCGCTCCTTGTAATTGACACGTGACATTTTGCGCTTCTGCTGTGACCGTTTCAACATAACTTCTTCTAGTAAAGGTTTTTCCATTTGAATGTCTGTGAACAAGAGAATATTAATCTCAGATCACTGCCTGTGATAATGAACAATATAATTTAGTAGCAGCACAGATTGATTAACTAAGAAAAACCAAGAAAAATAATATGCATGGGTTCTCAGGTGACTCAGAGATTAATTTCATTCCTGGAGGAAGTACTGAGCTGTACAGACCAACAGGTTCAAACAGAGTTTTGTAATTTGTCTTAATAACCGTGAACAATGAAAGAAACTAGATAAAATAAAATAGCATTTTAAAATGACTGTTTGTTATTTTGCAAAATCATTAATAAACTGCCCAGAAAATCCAACTTAATTTTATATCTTTGGCTGCCCCTGACTTTTTGAAAAACTCTGAAACATTGTCCTACTTGAAAGGTGTTATATAACAACAAATGCAAGTTGTTGTTGTTGTCTAAAGAAACTTACCCGAATGTTTCTATTCTTTCACAGATCCACTTCTTAAAAATAGTATGCTGTTATCCTAAGCCGTTTTCGAATCGAAAGATTCAACCATTAATATTCTCTACCAGGAAATACCAGGGATATAACTGACATTTATTTAAAATTTGCATTACCCTGAAACTGACATGGGATTGGCAGCAGATTATTTTACTATTCTTGGCAGGGGTATAGCACGTCACAATTCTCACTCTGTTCACCATTCAATAACTACGAACCCTATCAAATATCAAATCAATATTGTGTTACAAACAGCATAGAGCACTTGTGAGTAGACAAGTCATACTAGGTACAATAAGGTGTAATACAGGTACTGTGATCAAATTAGGAATGTATGTTGCACTTAATAATAATCCTTGCATTTGATATAGTGCCTTATCACATCTCTGAGACGTCTCAAAGTGCTTCACAGAGTATACTGTAAACTGAATTGACTGTATATTTTGTGGGTGAAACGCGGCAGCCAATTGTGCACAGCAGTGTCCCACACAGTCATGGATTGAATGACCAAATTACTTTTAGTTATTTTGAAGGGATTATTACCCCCAGAAAAGCGATCTGCCAATCGTGTAACAACTGGGTTTCGACTTACTGCGAGGTAAACAGAGGAGTGTGGAGTAAGGAAACTTGACTAATGATTGCACCTGCTACACCAGCCACCTCTGCTCCTTCAAAGCACAGGTGCGTGCCGCTGAACGCACCTGACTCAAATCCGATTTAACTGTCCACCAGCAGATCTGGCTGAACCTTGTCAAAACGTACTGATCTGCTGCTAAATTGTCCTTCTACTCCAAGACAATCTTGGAGGCCAAGGACAACCCCAGGCTCCACCGTCCCCGATCCTGACCCCCAGCTCGGGTCCAAAACACTAATTGTTCAGCGCCTTGGGATGTCCTCCCGTCATGAAAGGTGTTATACAAATGTATTTTTGTTGTTGTTGCCCAGGAATCGAACCCAGATCCTCTCGCTTGCGAGGCGTGTTCTCTAACCACTAAAGCAACAAGACTCCACCTAAACCTGTTTATTGCTCAGCGGTCACTGTCCTGCTTCATGACCTCCCACTTTCTCCTCTCGCCCACCCCCAGCTCGGGCACCCAGCCAGTTCTGTTAGGTAATGTGGGACACCCTCGCGACATGAAAGGAGCTGTATAAATTTAAATTTGTATATATTGGAAGCTTCAAAATCAAGTAAAGTATTTTTAAAAAAAGGCTTTAAAATTATAATAAAGAATAATGATAAATAATAAGCCTTGCATTCGATATAGCCCCTTATCGCGTTGTTGAGACGTCTCAAAACGCCTCACGGAATATATTGTAAAGTGGATTGACTGTATATTTTGTGGGCAACACGTGGCAGCCGAGTGCACACAGCAGTGGCCCGCAACCAGTGGTGGGTTGAGTGCCTTTTTTCTGGAACACAATTCTCCCAACAGTTTGTAGGATGATGAATGCGATGAGTTTGTGGAGTCCTGTTGCTCGCTCTTTGCAAGCGAGAGCCCTGAGTTCAATTCCAGACAGAGGGCGAAACCTTGGGCAAGTTTCCTTACTCCACACAGAGCCTAATAATAATCCCTCAAAAAAAAACAATAATAAATTGGTCATTTTCAATCCACAACTGTTTGTGGGACATTGCTGTCCGCAATTGGCTGCCGCGTTCACCCACAAATATGCAGTCAATTCACTTTACAGTGTGTTCTGTGAAGCGCTTTGGGACGTCCTCCCGACGTGAAAAGTGCTATATCAAATGCAAGGATTATTATTATTATTATTAATGCAGAGCCATGCCCTACCCTGCTCTGCCATGCCCTGTCCTTCCCTGCTCTGCCCTGCCTTGCCCTGCTCTGCCATGCCCTGCCCTGCTCTGCCATGCCCTGTCCTTCCCTGCTCTGCCCTGCCTTGCCCTGCTCTGCCATGCCCTGCCCTGCTCTGCCATGCCCTGCCCTGCCCTTCCTGCTCTGCCATGCCCTGCCTTGCCCTGCTCTGCCATGCCCTTCCCTGCCATGCCCTGCCCTTCCCTGCTCTGCCCTGCCTTGCCCTGCTCTGCCATGCCCTGCCCTTCCCTGCTCTGCCATGCCCTGCCTTGCCCTGCCATGCCCATCCCTGCCATGCCCTTCCCTTCCCTGCCATGCCCTGTCCTGCCCTGCCTTGCGCTGCCCTGCCCTGCCTTGCCTTGCCCTGCCCTGCCTTGCCATGCCCTGCTCTACCCTGCCCTGCCTTGCCTTGCCCTGCCTTGCCCTGCCCTGCCTTGCCCTGCCCTGCCTTGCCTTGCCCTGCCCTGCCCTGCCTTGCCTTGCCCTGCCCTGCCTTGCTCTACCCTGCCCTGCCTTGCCTTGCCCTGCCCTGCCTTGCTCTACCCTGCCCTGCCCTGCCCTGCCCTGCCTTGCTCTACCCTGCCCTGCCTTGCCCTGCCCTGCCTTGCTCTACCTTGCCCTGCCCTGCCCTGCCCTGCCTTGCCCTGCCCTGCCCTGCCTTGCCTTGCCCTGCCTTGCCCTGCCCTGCCCTGCCCTGCCTTGCCCTGCCCTGCCCTGCCTTGCCTTGCCCTGCCTTGCCTTGCCCTGCCCTGCCCTACAGCAGGTGACCACGGTCCCTGTGAAAAGCTCACCGAGAGGGATGGCTTGGAATCCACTGACCGCTCAGATAAACTTGACCGAGGCTTACGTCCCGCCCCCTCCTTACTCAGAGTGACAGAGGGGAGCAGCCAACCAGCGTTTCCTTTGGCTGAAACGCCGGGCGGTGATTGACGGGAGCGATGCGGTCAAACCGCCAGCAGGTTAGAGTGCGCTGGAGCTGGTGACGCTGCAGCCGCAGTGCTGCGCTCGAGCCCTGACCCTGATCATGGTCCTGGTCCTGGATGTGCTGATAGTGGGAGCGGGTCCACACGCTCTCACTCTGGCTTCTCTGTTGCAGACTCCCTGCAATGCTGCTGTCACCTCCTCCTCCTCCTCCTCCACCTCCTCCTCAATTTTAAATGGCATTTTGCTGAGTAAGAGCAAATCCAGAAGACCTCGCAGGGCAGCGACCAAACAGCCAGACAGTGACTTTTCTGGTCAGTTCTGATGTGTGTTCAGCAGCTTGTGATGTGTCTGTGTGTGTGTGTGTCTGTCTGTGTGTGTGTGTCTGTGTGTGTGTCTGTGTGTGTGTGTGTGTGTCTGTCTGTGTGTGTGTCTGTCTGTGTGTGTGTCTGTGTGTCTGTCTGTGTGTGTCTGTCTGTGTGTGTTTGTGTGTCTGTCTGTGTTTGTGTGTCTGTGTGTGTGTGTCTGTGTGTGTGTCTGTGTGTGTGTGTGTGTCTGTGGGTGTGTGTTTGTGTGTCTGTGTGTGTGTGTGTCTGTGTGTGTGTGTGTCTGTGTGTGTGTGTGTCTGTGTGTGTGTGTGTGTGTCTGTGTGTGTGTGTGTGTCTGTGTGTGTGTGTGTCTGTGTGTGTGTGTGTCTGTGTGTGTGTGTGTCTGTGTGTGTGTGTGTGTGTCTGTGTGTGTGTGTGTGTCTGTGTGTGTGGTGCACGTACTCCTCGCTCTAAAAACATCATGACAGCTGCTGTTGTCAGCAGCATGTGTGTGGCTGTTGAAGTGCCACTTTAAATTGAACGGAGTATTCATTGGATATTAGATTGTTAAATAAAAATAATAATAATAATCCTTGCATTTTGATATAGCACCTTATTATTGTCTTCGAGACGTCTCAAAGCTCTTCACAGAATATTTTGTGGGCAAAGCGCGACAGCCAATTGCGCACAGCAGTAGCCCACAAACAGTCGTGGATTGAAGTGAGCAATTTATTATTATTTTGGGGGGAAGGAATTATTACCCCTGGAAAAGCGATCTGCCAATCAACTAACAACCAGGTTCCTACTTACTGCTCGGTAAACACAGGCGTGTGGAGTAAGGAAACTTGGCCAACATTTCGCCCGGCCAGGAATCAAACCCAGGTCCTCTCGCTTGTGAGGCGATTGTAATCCTTGCATTTCATATAGAGCCTAATCACGTTGTCAAAACATCTCAAAGCATTTCACAGGATTCACTTGTGTATTTGTAGGTGAATGCAGCAGACAATTTGTGCACAGCAGTGTTCCATAAACATCCATGATGTGAATGATTAATATGATCTGGGGCACTGCTGGTCAGGACACTCAGATAGTTGCATATGTTCTTTACCGCCCACATGATCAAGGAGATGGGACCTCGATTTAACATCTTTAAAATCTCCTATGAAACAGCGCTCCTCTTAGATGATGATCTAAAAGTCCTAATATGGAGCTTGCAGTCGAGGATGAACACTGCTTGCTTGCATTCATATAGTACCCATCATGCAGACAGCATCTTGGAATGCTTAACAGCGGTGTGGTTTGATGCTGAACTGGAAAAAGAAGGGAAGTGAGCAAAAGCATGTTTGAAGAGGTTTGATTTGAGGACTGACAAAGATGGGGCAAGACAGAGGGGTTGAAGCATAGAGACACAACGCAGCACCAAAGTTTGGGGGAGGCAAGTTAAATTCATCATTTGCTTTGCAGGAAATTACTGTATGCAAATTGGCAGCAGGAATTTTGCTTAAAAATATACTGCCCCAGCCTTAATAGCTTTTACCTACGCAGCACTTTTAGATGTTTTGATATTATAGGTGCTGTATCAAATGCAATAATTATTGTTGTAGTAACCCTTTGTGTTTCACTGGGCAATTTCATTACAACACCATAATCTGGATCCAATATCTTACAAAGGAAGACCCTCATGGGATGCTGTCTTCAATATGAATTTGGATCTAGGATTTGCTTTGGCTGGATGTAAATTTTATGCAATGCATAAACTATTTTTCACGATTGCAGGGTAATCTTATAGTTGAAATATCAAGACAGAGTAAATTCTTCCAGGATTTTAATATCAGAATCATAGTAATTAAATAATTGATGGCTACTATTTGGCTCAACAAGTCTGTTGTGTCTGTCATTTCTTCTGGAATCAGCTCCTACTGCAGCTAACTACTCCAATAACATGAGTATTGTACATAGATGGGATAAGATGTTTTCTTTGAAAATATATGTGTGAAAATTTTCCACTGAAGAAATGAGTGAATGGTGACTTTTTGGAAATGTAGAATACTTCAAGACAATACTTGAACGATACCTCATAAACAAATTTCAAGGAAATTTTATTTAAAAAATATTATTTCCTCCTTCCTACTGATTTCCTGTACTCCACTTTCAAAGATACTTTCGCACACTGGAGTAATGTTTTGAGAACACCTTAGCCAACAGACCAATCTTCATGGGTAATCTTAGGCAATGAATACTGGTGGATTTTCCACTATAGTATTTAAATTCAATCACACAAATTACACTTTCCAATACCTGTTATCAAATGCAGTGGGGCCTAGGAAAGCTGATTGAAAAAAAAATGGTCATTCAATCCATGACTGTTTGTGGGACGCTGCTGTGCACAGTTAGCTACCACATTTTGCCCCAAAAATATACAGTATATTCTGTAAAGTGCTTTGAAATGTCTCAACAACGTGACAAGGTGCTATATCAAGTGCACGGATTATCATTATCATCCCCATCCACACACAGCTGCAGAGTATCAAACCAAGCTTAATAGCACACAATAAGGTGTACTTAAACAACCATTGAGAGAACTTCACTGATGAGATTTTTCATCTAATTTGTTTTAACTTCCGATTCCTGGGTAAAATAATGAATATCATTTTAAAAATGTATTCCAAAGTAATATTTCTTTCAATGCAAAGTGCTGATTATGTGAGTATGACTGAAGAATATTTCAGTTCAAAGGAGTCAATTGCTGACTTCTCTGATTCACTCTTCCATCATGAACCTCAGAATTACTTTAAATTCATAATTTTAACAAGAAAGTATGGAACTGCTCAAAAATAACTTCTATGGATTTATTGATTTTTGATAATATTTGGAGGTATGAAAGTTAGAAACAACAAATTCTTGTACTTTGAGTGTGGAAGTGAATCTTGAGATGTTATATAAGCTTGCTAATTATACAGATGTAATGTAGTTCCTGTAATGATGGAACATAGCTGAAAACAAAACTTGTAAACTAAGATCGTCACATTGTTCAATAAATAAGTCACAGGTAAACTAAGTATACAGCACAAGCAATAATCTGTATGGTGTTAAAAGTTGCTCTTGAAGTTAAAAAAAATTTGAGTACCACTTATTGTCATAATAATTAAAAACATAATTTGGTCACTCAATCCACTACTGTTTGTGGGACACAAATAACTTGTTAATAATTACTATATATACAAACCAATATAATGCAATAACATTTATCTTATTCTATAGTGAAGTTTCCCCACTCTGATTGTTAATCCATATGCTTACCACTTCTGTTCCTCATAGAAACAAATGGTATTAGAAGTCATACAAGTGAAGACAATATACAGATACCGGCACTTCCAACTACATTGAATGTAAAGGTTGTGGATACATATGGCCAGTGGGTGAGGCTGTGGGACCAGCAGTTCACAGCACTAAATATTCCTCATTTGCGATCTCATACGTTGGTGCATACTGATCCATTCGACAAGGTGAGATTGCTTGTTCTGACATCATCTGGATTGCATGAGTGATTCAATTTCTGTATGAACTGGCTTTTCATTCCTGAGTTATTAGTTAGGAATCACACCATGGTTTCTAAAGTACAGTATATCAACTTAAAACAATTGAAAAAATCCAGAGAAATAGTTTCTGTAATAGTTAATATTTATTTATACATCACATGAACTTGTGTGGTGACTTGTAAATTAGTAAACATTTATTACCCAATTGTAGTTGTAGGGAAGGCTTTAACTTATATAGGAGTAAATTTTATATATTGTGTTTACAGTACAACAATTTGTTTTGTTAGTATTTTATTTTTGTTAGTTTCTTTTCATATGTAATGCTTTGTTTGTCTTCTATTACAGGCAGCATTGCAAAAATTTATATCATTGCACGAGCGAACTGATGAATTGCACTTCTTGTCTGATCGGGTGTACATTCAGGACGAGAATGCCTTTTTCAATGACAACCGTTTGGGGAAAAAGGACAAAAAAAAGTTGTCGTCCAGTTCTTCACTGAAGCACAATCTCTATTTCAGTGTGCCTGGCGCAGTATTGATAATGGATTTCTTTGAGGATCAGGTTTGACTGCTGATTTGACATTGCTTGTGTGGACAAACTACTTTGGTGCCTAGTGAATCAGATTGAGGCATCAGCATTTGCTGTGGTTGAACGCTTGCAATAATCAGCTGCAAAGACTTTAGAAATCCGTCTGCATGGAACTTGCTGCAGTATTTACTTCTAACACTAATAACTGAAATAACCTAACCATGAGTTCAGTATGAACTCATTATCTTAGCATTTACTGGAGATCGCTTCAGCAACTCTGATATGATCTAAACTTCATTTGAAATATATATTCCATTCATTGTCACATAAAGTAGTGTGGTTGCAACCAACTTTGTATGATTAAACCGCATGCCAATCAATGTCGCCATTCAGGATGACATCCGTGTCTTCTTCACAGTACTGCAGAAATCCATGAATAAAATAAATTGGTTCAATATGTTCTCAATCGCTGCAAGTTAGATCCCTAATTTAATGTAAGAAAGAGATAAAAGAGAATCTGTTGGTTCTTAAAGTGAGAGAATTTGGGCAGTAGTATTTAGAACCATAAAAACTCAGATTAACAACTTTCGGGCTAAATTATCAAGGCTAAAATGTTTGTTCTTTTAGATATGATTTCTTCTTGAAAATAAATTGACCTTAAAAACTCCTGATTTTATATCTAAAAAACATAATTTTTTTTAAATTCCCTGTTATTTTTTCTGAATTTCCCTCCCTCCTCCCTCTCATCCTACTCCTGCACCTCCACCCTGCAGCATACCATTCCTCTAGCTTCCTGAATTAATAGTTTTCAAAACTGTGTGTTGCAATTCTTTGCAGATATAAAGTGAATGTAATGAATGGATCATTTCCTTTTTGTGCTCTCTGTCTTCGTTTTTGATCATTTGTTCTTAGCAATGTAAGTAGACTAAAATTAAAAGGTTTGTCTAAATTGTGACTAAATGTTAATATTCCAAATATAGCTTTTAAGTGAGTGTCTCTGTGACTGTGCATGAAAACCCTGCATTTTCATTTGGACTCACGCCGTGCTAGAGGAATGATGTTTATCATCACCGAAGCCAGGTAGAAAATCAATCTATTCTTTCTCTGTATGATCTGTTTTATACAAGTGCCAATAAATTATTTCAAGGTAAGTTCCTTGGTTATATCAATTTTTTTCTAGTTGTACCTATTTGAAAATAAATATTCAGTTCCTATTTTGAACCTCTATGAGCTCATTGCTGTGTGGTGGTTTGCGTTGATGTTGTGAGAACTATTGCCTCTTTGAGGATTATTAAAATGAATGTACTAATAATTGAAATGGTACCAACTAACCCATACTGTCCTTATACAGGACAACAGCATTATAACACGCCTTGCTGTAACATAGCTTCACTTACAATTTGATTTCATTGTGAACGTAGACATTTCTTACCCAAAAATTGGAATACTGCCATCGTGAAAAAATAGCTGATTTACAGGTCATCAGGTTACCACTAACATTGTTTCATGCACACAGCGCACAAGAAGCCCCATTGGCTTAATTTTGCAAAGCGCATCAGCAGAGCTTCTTGAGCATAGAGTGCAAGCACAGCACATGTGTATTACCCATGTGTGTGCAACACGCTGGAAGTGACTTCAGTGGAGATCTGACGACCTGGAAATTGGCCATTTTATCGTGCTTCTTTACAACACGAGGCCTGAGACATTGGAATCCTGATGACTGCATTGTAAAAAGGATTGTCCTGCATATGAGATGAAGAAAATTTGAAATTTGATTCATCTGGATTCCCTCTTTTACTTGCCTCCTTTCAGATTGTGAAGGTTGTGTTGTTGTTGTTGTTGTTGCATGTTCAAGGCTGGGATGTGTAATAGGTTTGAGTTCAAAGTCAATAATCTGAGACATGAATGACACAATTTATTGAAAGGAAGGGGATGAATCACTAGAAAAACTTCCAAGAAGATAAAGTGTTGAGGATGGTGCCCAAAAGCACAGTCAAAGGAATGTTTTTAGACAGGTTTTAAAGGCACAAAGCAGAGAGATTCTAGAAGAGGGTTTCAGTGAGTGGTTCAAAGTTCAGCCACTGATGATGAGACAGAGGAGATAAGGAATATACAGCAGGCCAAGTTCAGGAAGCCAGAGAGAAACATGGGTTTACCAGTTTATTAAAGCTGTGTAAAGCTGCTAAACCAGCAAACACATCTGCAGAATTTTGAGAAAATGAGTGTGAAAAATGATGTGTATTACATGTGTGGGATGGGAGAGGGGAGGCCTGGCTTTATAATATAATAATCCTTGCATTTAATATAGTGCCTTATCACATCTTCGATGTGCCTTTAGCACATGTAGGTAATTCATATTAGAACAGTAGGAAATCTTTTAACTTATTTCAAATGTTCGACTCCTATGTGGGTTGACCAAAACTGAACACAAAACTTTGCTGAAAGCATGATCAAAATAAATTTTTTTGAATTATGTAACAAGTTAAGTATCCTCATACTGCCTACTTAGTATTGTGGAGATACTGATGTATAAATCAATGTATGCATCAATATGCATTAATCTATATGTATCGGTTTTACAACAACAACAAAGTTACATTTGTATGGCGCCTTTCACGTCGGGAGGACTTCCCAAGGCGCTGGACTGTCAGTGTTTCGGACCCGAGCTGGGAGTCAGGATTGGGGAGGGTGTAAGGTAGGGGGTGAAGAAAGGTAACTTTTGTCAATCATCTTGAGTGCTATGATTAAATCCAAGACAATAATACCCAGCTTCGTCTATTAGCTCTCCTTCACCCAATATTTTGTATCAACATAATTGGATATTCTCTTAATGATTGCCTCCTCCACGTCACTCTTAAATGCTAAGGGAAACCAAGGTCTCAAAACTATTCCTGCAAAACTCCAGCATCTGCACTGCACAGCTCACATTTAGGTAACTAAAACATTCAGGTAAAATTTTTGAGTCTCAATTAATATGAGTTAATTTGGCTCAAGCAAAATTGAACCTATAGATGATATCAGTTTGTGAAATTGCATCAACTTTGAATGGAACATTAAGAAAAAGTTGAAGGAAATCCCTATGTACATGAGATTTCTTAAACACCTTTGCTGCAATTTATTACCAGATGTAATATTTCCTGGTAATCTTCCAAATACAGGTTAGGAAATACCATCTTGAAAACAGTGTGATACCAGGTACTGTTGAGAAAATTATCCCGATCCTGACCCCCTGCACAGAACCACACAGCAGTGAACCCAAGCAAACCCAATTCTTTCAAGTAGTACTTGAGAGCGGAGAGACGATTGAGGCTCGCCAAGTTGTTCTTGCGACGGGACCCACCAGAGCTCAGATGGCTAATATCCCAACATGGGTCTACACAATAAGTGAGAGTTACCCTGAGGAACGTCTTCAACATACAGTACAGCTCATGCATCATCAGGCTGTCAGTCGAGAGAAAAATGGTGAGACAATTTTTGTATGCGTGTATCGGGTTGTGCTGTGCAATTGTGGTTTGTCATAAGAGAACAAACACAATCCTGAAAGACTTATGTGAGAGCCAACTACTGATCCTGTAGGAGTCCTGTAGCTCAGTAGTTAGAGCACTTGTCTCGCAAGTGAGAGACCTGGGTTTGATTCCCAACAGGGCGAAATATTAGGCAAGTTTCCTTACTCCACACGCCTCTGTTTACCTAGCAGTAAATAGGAACCTTGTTGTTAGTCGATTGGTGGATTGCTTTTCTGGGATAATAATTCCTTAAAAAAACAAATTGGCCACTTCAATCCATGACTGTTTGTGGGACACTGCTGTGTGCAATTGGCTGCTGCGTTTCGTCCACAAAATACACAGTCAATTCACTTTATAGTATATTCTGTGAAGCGCTTTGAGACATCTCAAAGACATAACAAGGCTTATTATATCATATATATATCCGGTGTCACAGTAATTACTGATACATTTTTGAAGTAATTGCTGTGAATGATTATTATTTCTTAACGATGACTCAACAAGTATCCTACATCACAGCTGCACCTGATGTTTGCCAGAATGGAGAAGCAGTTCTGGTGATTGGCGGAGGCCTTACCAGTGCTCACGTTGTTCACATTGCCCTTCAGCAAGGCTCTCGACACGTGACCTGGGTCATGCGTAAACATTTACAGGTAAGTCACAAGATGTTACTTTGCGCGTCACGCACTTATATCGGTATTTCTTTTATCTTCTTTTACAAAACAGAGGAAATGCTTTCCGACAATTTGCAAACAGGTTAGTGCAGCCGTGTATTAAAGTTGATTTCAATTAAACATAATTCCGAGTTTTTCAGAGTAATAGTAATAACTGAGATTGTTGGTCTGTTTACACTAGCTAATTAGTGTAACTTTTGAAGACAGGATAAAGAATCTACAATGTTTAAATAGTTAATGACCATTTTTTCAGTACCTTTGAGGTTTAACCATCCAGTGCAGTGCAATTCTATATATGCACTAGCCACCTTCTCACCAAAGTGACCATTCTTCTTGTGTGAGCTTAGACAGTGCAGCAAACCTAATTGTGTCCTCATCTGAGGTTCATACATGTGTGCCTCCAATAGGATTACTAGAATAGCAACCCTGGCCAATTCTTCTCCTTCTAGGGGTATTGAAGCCATTTATAGAACCCCAACTGCCGACTTGGCTGACATCAGTTCTATAATGAGTTATCTGATCCTATAGTCTCCTGTTTTCTACGTCTTAGTAGTTTTACCCACTAGGCAATCTGAGGAGCTACGGGTTAATTCTTATGTTTAATATTCTTTTGATCAAAAATGAATTATTGCTTTATTCAGTGCAATTTATAAGTATCAAAGTGTTTTTGTTTATGCTGTTATCATACTTGATGTTCTTAACAATAAATTGATGATAATTTGCTGCAAGTTGGATTATGTTTCCTCTTAGATATTGCTTGTTTAAAGCAACAGTTAATGCAATCGTTTTAACCAGAAATTGGAATGTGATTTCAGATAATATGAAAATAAAGGATTTAGCACTTACTCTCTCTGGTCTGTCGTACATAGCTGAAACAGTTTGATGTGGGTGATGTTGAAACCTTGGTCGGACGCTATTCACATGTGGAACATGGGATTAAACTGGACGGGCTTGCCTATCTGCGCCAGTTCTATAATGAGAGGAGCCTACATAAACGTCTTGCTATGATACACCAGGCAAGAAAAGGGGGAGCAATAACTCCAGAGATCTATCAGCAGCTGAAACCTTACATGGGGCAGGGTCTTCTCACTGTTGAAACCTATTGTCAGGCAAGTATGTTTATAGATCCAGTGGATATCTCTTCAAATGCCAAAACATGATTGACATAGCAGTGGTTTCTCTGTACAATATCGTATTTCCCTGCTCCTGTTTTATTGGAAATAATTTATGTCATGTTGAGGTATGCTGTGCAATTCTTAAGCTGTTATAAAATTGTATCAAAATCCTATTATCATGAGGTTAGTTTTTGAATGGTTAATGGCTGACTGCAAGATTCGCTATATACATACACACATATATGTGCAGATTATAAAGTCCTTTTGAAAAAGGGAATTGTTGATCCATCTTTTTAACTGTGTCACCGTTAGGTCACACAAAATGATGTAAATACACAATATTGTCAGGGGTGATACTGAGTTTTATTTAAGACATATATTTAATATAGAGATAAATTTTGAACATCCTGATAGTTTTACAACATAAGGCAATTGACAGTAAGGTGTGGTGTTGTTAATGGAAATGAAACACCTTCCATTTTAGGGAATGAGTATCAAACACTCAAGACTGGAACACCATGGTCTGACATAGAGTAAAATTCCATTGACGAAATAAATTGATAACCCCCTGTAAGATATTGGCCCTAATTGCATGTTTCCATTGTCCGCACTACCCACATTAGGACTTTCCTGCAACAGATTTCCCAACCTTTACGTGCTGGAATTCAGAAGGTTGATTTTTATTCACTTTGAAAGGTTTCTGAAGCTGGGTGGTCTTACAAAAACCAATTATGGAAAGTGGCTTTAAGTAATGGCAAGCTGTGGAGTGGTGACCGCATCTGGCTGGCTACTGGCTGCAAACTGGATGTTTCTCAGGATCCTTTGCTCTCTGACACCATGCGAGAGTTTCCCATTCAGGTATTAGGCTTTTCCTCTTACTGATGTTACCAGATGTCACTGGTGTGAATTGCTGTCTCTCTGTTCTCACTCAAAATATCCAAGGTGTTTTCAATGTGATATTATTGTCCCTGAAAGCACAGCTTCTGTGTTGTAACATTATTATAGAAAACTGTATTTTTTCAAACTGCAACAATTTAACAACAAATATCTATTATCTCTCTCTAGATATAATCTGCAAAATAACTTCTGTTTCTTCCTCTTCTGTTGACAAACATAGGATCAAAAACTGTAACTTACACAACAACAGCCTTTTTTTTGTATCCACTTTGATCCTTGAAAGAAATTCTATCCCAGAAATTTCGAAGAAACACCCCAAAGAATTCCCATCATTCAAAACACAAAGATTGGTCAGAGAGTAGGAAAGGTTAGAGATAAGGGGTGAGACTGAGAGACTTTGTGAGAGAGTTCCAAAGGATGGGGCAAAATGGGGTGGAGGGGCTAAACTGCTTAAAATTAGCAAGCGAAGGGTGTTGGGCAGTTAACCCCCAGTCCTCAAAACAAAGCCATGGCCTGAAAAACGATACCCATACCCATTGATCTGATCAGGCCTCATGCAGAGTACTGCATACAGTTCTGGTCATAGTGCATAATGGGACTGTCTTGGCTCTAGAGGCAGTGCAGAGGAGAGCAATAAGAAGGATCCCCAGTGATACGAGGAATGATCTGCGAGAAACAATGAGTCAAACTAAGGCTCTTCAGTCTTGAAAGGTGTTATCTCAGAGGAGACCTTACAGAGCTATATACAATTTTAAATGGGATTGTAAAAGTAAACTCAGAAAATCTTGGAGGACATAAATTTAAAGTTGCAAATGACAATTTCAGGACAGACCCCAGAACATTTTTCTTTACCTAGAGGGTAACCAACGACTGGAACAGGCTGCTCGGAAGGGTGGAAGTCTAGGACACTGGATTTATATTTAAAAAATACAGCTGGATGCTGTGAACTGTGTGATAGGTGTTCTGGAAGGCTGAGATCAAATGGCTCTCTTCATTCAAATCAATATTGTGATCTAGTGAACCTATTCTTGAGAAAACTTAGAAATAGTAAGTGTGCAATAAGAACCATCAGGTACTGGGGCTCTTAGGTCAGTGCAAACACCCTGCCCCAATTTAACTAAATGGTTAAAAATCTTCTCTAATGTTTAATTTCCTGCTGCCTCCTGGATACTCACCACATCAGGACTATATTTGGGAAAACAATTACTCAGCTGACCTCATTTCTAGGCCATTAGTTCAACTGCTGCTTAGTGACAGTTGGGATCGATATGCTTTTTGGCAACAAATAGCAATTGAGTAATCCGAAAATTCAACAATATCCAGGACCAACGACAACATGTCAGAGAGTTGCTCTTTGATGGACCCTTTATCGAGAGCAGCTGCACAGCTCAAGAAAAAGGGTTGAAATGTCAGATTTCTCATAACGCAGGGAAAATCATTCACAACTTTTTTTTAAAAAAACTAATTAAAGAGGTGCATTGTTCTGATTTCAAAGTATTTCCTATTGCACCAGTAGAATCGTTTGAACACTAAACTTCACCCACTTGTGCTTTTTGTCTTTATTCAGGTTCTGGATGGGTGGCCAGCTGTCAGGGAGAGCCTGCAGTGGGCATCAGGTTGTGATCTCTACCTCATGGGCCAGTATGCAGCTCTTCAGGTTCTGCCCTGTTGTGTGTGCTCGTGGCAGTGACAATTGGTGCATTGTTTGCTGCTCGTTTGACTTTTTTTTAATATATTTAGTGCACACAAATATTTTTAATAATTTAATCTACACTGGCAAGAGCCTCTCTGTTCCTGGTCTGACCTCCTCTTGCTATAATGTAGCTCTGTGTGCATATGAAATGCAAGAATGATGAATTATTATTTATTTATTATTGTTTAAGATGTACTTCGCTATCAAGATGCATGAGTTACATTGAAATGATAAATCCCTTTTATAATTCAATGAATTGTTTTAAACAGGTGGGTCCCCATGCAATAAATTTAGCTGGCGGTCAGGCAGCAAGCACAAGGATTACAAAGGCTATACTTCAGAAGCATAAGAGATGGAATGGAGACTGTATGGCACTTGAAGAGCAAAATCTTGAAAAGAACAGAGCTGAGGAATATGTTCAGCATATGTATGGACTGATGTGGCTGTGAGGAAGAACATCCTCAAAGGGATGAATGTCTTATATACTGGAATTTGAAGGGAATGGAACTTGGCACTGGTGGTGAGAGTGGAATTTCTCTTGCATCTAGATTTCTAAATGTGCAACTTTTGGGCAAATCTTCTATTCAGTCATAGAATTACACAGCACAGAAGGAGGTCATTCAGCCCATCGTGTCTGTGCTGGCCCTTTGAAAAGAGCTGTCCAATTCAATCCCAGTCCCCCGCTCTCCCCACAGTCCTGCAAACTTGTCCTCCCCAACTTGTCCTTATTATTATTATAGTTCAGTGTTAATTTTGAAGCCAGCTTTCTGCTGTTATCAAGATAATCTTTGATTACACAATTTAACAAAATTTGCACATTCTAAGATGCTAAGAAAAACATCTAAGTCTAAACCCAGATGGAAATGCCCCTCCCTCAGATTGCCCACAGGGCTTAAGTTTGTGACTGCAGTTTTCGAGTTTGTGGAAATTGTGAATGGAACCCCCAGCTGGACTCTCTGCTGCTTAAGATGGCATATTGGGATATTTATAGTTCTGCTTCCTTTCTCTTGTGTATGGAATACTTAATGGATGTTAAAGCACTCATGATGGTATTTCAATAGAGAAGCAAGTTTTTCCTGATGCCCTGATCAACAATTCCTAACTAAATTTGGTCTTCACTTCATGGCTGTTTGCAAGACATTGCTACGCTCAACTTATCATTACATTGTACAGAAAAACAGGGCTTTTTTGACATGATAAGGTTCTGCATCAAATGCAAGGATTATATTATTTATGTGTGGATGGTTGAAGTGTTATGTGTGAATGCCTGAAATGTCAAGCAATGCTTTGACTTCTTTTGTTATGTTGCTTTTTGTGTATTTTTTTTAAAATCTTACCATTTACATAAATTGCAGGTTTTAAATAAACATAACAAGTCAAATGCCGTTTTTATCTGCAGCGAGTTCTATAATAAAGTGAAATAACTGAGACTAGGATGGTTCTGTAACATATACATATAATTTACAATAATTTTAAGTTTAGAAACAGATCTTTGTAAATTTAAAACCACCTTTTTATGGTGGTTTGAGAAAATCTCTGTATTTCCTGAGAATAAACTATAGATACATATATTTTCTTAATGAATCAGAGCTGGTATTTTTGTCCTCCAACAAAAGAGGGTTCAAGAGAGTGGTAAAATAAATAAAATACACAGAAAATAAAAGATTGGGGTCAACACCATCAAATTTATATTAGCACTTTTCACATCGGGATGACCTCCCAAGATGCTGGACAGTTCAGGGTTTGCACCTGAGCTAGGGGAGCTGAGGGGTGGGAGTTGGTGGAGAAAGATTATCAATTATGGAGTCAAAGAGCAAGGTCTTGAGGCAAGTCTTGAAGAAGGTGAGGAAAGGGGTGAGTTATAGAGGATGGAGTTCCAGAGAGTGAGGGGCAAATAATGAAGTGATACAAGAAGTGATCACTGAAGACATTCATCTTCTGCATATTGTAATGGTGCTAAAAAAAATGCCCTCAGTGTAGTGCAGAATTGGCAATCTGAGTTTGAGGTGGAGTAGAGGAACTTTACTTCATAATGTCAGCCTGGCATGGTTGGTAGCATTCGCATCTGGGGGTGGGGGGGGGAGTCATAAAGTTGTGGGAGGAGACTTCATGTCAGGATTTGAGCTCACAGGCTGATACTCCAGTGCAGTGCTGGAATAGCTCCACATCGTTGGAGATGCCATCCTTTGGGTGAAACGTTAAACCAAGGTCCCATCAGTCTGTTCAGGTGGATCTTTAAATTTTAGATATTAAAGATCCTGTGCATTATTCAAAAGAGAAGAGTTTCTCCAAGTGTACTCTCTGGATAAATTAAGATAACTTGGTCTTTCATTTCATAGCAAAATGTATTGCACACGTGCCTCATATAGATAGCATCTTTTTTTCACCCCTAACTTTCTCTTTCAATCTCATCTGACATTTCTCTCCTGCCTATACTGTTTCTCTGTTTTTGGATCTTTCTTCTGTTCCATTTTATCACTCTCACCTGTCCTCTCTATCTGTCACTCGATATTCATCTCCCCCCACCCATCTGTCTCTTTCACCCTCATCTCTCTGTTAAGACCAACTCTACAATCCTCTTATGCGTTTACACCTATGCTCTGCAAAAGTGCTCTCTCTCACTTACTGTACTTCCTTTACTCCAGCTCCTGTCGCCCTCTCACCTGTCCCTTTACCTCTCACCTGTCTCCTGTTTCCTGTCCCTCCTTATCTTTCTCTCCCTCTCAGCTGCTCTTTCAATCTCTGGCATCTTTAACATGACCGCACGCTCTTTCCCACTCTTCAGCCTCTGCACCATTTTCTTTTTCCCCTGTGCATCTCCATATGATCCTTGTTTCTCTCTCGTTCCTCTTCCCCAAGTGAGCATAAACCTTCCTCTGTGTGTGTGCGTGGTTGCTCTGTGCTGAGTCACTGTGTATGTGGTGTATCTATTTACAGATCAGTGCTGCTGGCCACGTGATAAGCAGGTCATTGTGTAACTTATAGCTTCTTGGCCAAGGTTTACATGAGAAATCCTGACAGAGCTGAGAAGGGTCGAGGTTACTTAATATACTGGCGTCTAAATACAACACTTGACACGTTCTAGCTGTTTGCACAGGTATAGTACTGCATAGAGCCTTGATATTAATATTTCATTAATATTAATGAAATAACTCACTAACCAACACGGAAATACGACCTCCAGAGTCAGCTATAGGTGCTCACAGCATAAATCAGCCTGAGGCACCGCAAGGCAGAATTGTTTACCATATTTTTTTATTTCCAGAATTCTTGACTCCATGAATGTAAAACACAATGTGTATTAAAGGTCTTTGCAGGATGTTTAATTTATCATTCAGGTTTGTCTTTTTTTTGAAGCTTCAATGTATACTTTTAAATGTAGTTAATTATACATACTGTAATTACATGTATATTTATGACAATTACGTGTGGATCTATGGTATAATAATTTATTCCCTAATCCAGCCGGTCACATTCAAGTGCAGTGCAGGAAGGGGGCATTGTTGGAGGTGCCTTCCTTAGAGTGAAACATTAATTCAGACCTGTTCAGGTGAACGTTAAAGATCCCTGTTCAAAAAGAGAAGGGAGTTACTCCCGGTGTCCTGGCAAACCATTCCCCAGTTGGAAATAGGTTATTTACTGTTTGTGGGACATTGTTGTGTGTAAATTGGCTGCTGTGTTTACCTACAAAAATACACAGTCACTACATTTTGACCAAATCCTGTGAAGCATTTTGAGATATTTCAATTGTATTATAAGGCGCTATATGAAATGCAAGAATTATTATTAGAAGTTCACTGCCAGATGGTTTCTCCTTGCGACACGCATCGGTCAAAATTTAAGTTAAAAAAGCTTTTTTTTAAATTTTATTTGTATCCCTTGATTGCCTTTGATCATTAACCAATCATTTCCTTATTGCTATAGGCAGAAACCTTAAGCAATAGGTTTAATCTAACCTGGATGTCCTATGGATTCAACAATAACTAACAACAGATGAGCAATGTAATATAATAATAATAATCCTTGCATTTGATATAGCGCTTTTCACGTCGGGAGGACGTCCCAAAGCGCTTCACAGAACACACTGTAAAGTGAATTGACTGTATATTTGTGGGCGAATGCGGCAGCCAATTGCACACAGCAATGTCCCACAAACAATCGTGGGTTGAAAATGACCAATTTATTATTGTATATTATTTAATATAATGTAAGGACAAATGCTTCCTAATTCTCATTAAATGGATATGATTATGGTAGACGTTACTAGTATGATACAAAATCCTCTCAAATATCTGGTAATTTGCTGTAATGAAAGTATAAAACGTGATTAATTATTAAAGACTTACATTTGGGAATTGCCTAAGGATCCAGATTTCAGAACACTGAATGGGAAGGGGTTTTGAAAGGAGCTTATTTGAGCTCAAGAGATCAGATCTGCATTAAATTCAATTTTAAATCATTGCACCAATTATTCAGATCATCCAATTTATTCTCAGGTTATTCTTATTCAAATACATCTGTTGATGATGTCTCTTTTAATAGTAATCCTTGCATTTAACATAATGCCTTAGCATATCATTGAGTTGTCTCAAAATGCTTCACAAGCTATACTGTGAAGTAGATTGACTATGTAATCTGTGGGAGAAATGGGATTCAATATCATGGTTATTTTGATCTGGATCAGTGTACGAATGGAAAGGGTTCATTAAAGAAACCTTAGTTATTCGGTTTAAAATTGGATGAATTATTCAAAACTATGAATCAGCCTAGTTGGAGTTAATTAATTGGTTGTATGAAATGGAAAGATGATAGTTCACCTGATTATAAAGTTGTGTTGATTTCACTTTAATATTCAGCAATCTAGCTACAAAATGAATGGGAGGAATTTTCTATCAGAGTTAAGCTATTCCTCTGATAAAGTGGGACATTGGTTTATAAATACAAACTATAATGTTCAGTCCTTGATGTCTCTGCTGAATTAACTGACCTCACTGTGTGTCAATTGTAGTTCTGCAAAAAATGTGTGCTGTGAACCTGTCTGCACTCCCCACTAAAAGGAGAGGGATAGGAAGGGGTTCAAGACCCCATTTCTAACCCCGAGGCAGGGAAGCCTTTGTCTCTTCACCAAAGTGGAGTGCGCAGAGGCAATCTCCCCGCCCCCAGCACCCCGCCGCCATACGGGGCTGGGTCTGTTGCATCATGTAATGGGCTGTAATGGGATAATAGCATGCTGCATCATCTTTTCTGTAATGGGTTGGATACTGTCTGAGATAAGCGTAAATGTATATCAACAAGTAAATATATATATATTTTGTTTTTTAAAAAAAAGTAGTTCTGCTGCCACCCAGCTGAGATCAGCTAACGCAACCGTGGGACTTTCTAGTTCTGCACTTTTTAGTTTTGCTAAACGGTTCTATAGTTATATTGGGGTGGTGGGGGGGGGGGGGTTAAAGAATTGTGTAGCAGTGTTTTATTTTGTTAAGCTTCTTTGAAATGCTGCAATTGCAGAGCCTGCAATGTCTGTCAGAAGAGTTCTCCAAACACTTCTGAGTGTAGAGCAGTCTGAAGGAGTGGGTGCTCGAGTGCGGCGAAGCATTGGGAGACCAGAAGTAAATATTTCTTTCTTTTTGTTTATTCATTTCTTTTTGTTTTGTTCATTTAGACGATGGCCATATGCACATCTAATAATAATAATAATAGTAATAATAATAATAATAATCCTTGCATTTGATATAGCACCTTATCACGTCTCCGAGACATCTCAAAATGCTTCACATGATATATTGTAAAGTCTAATGACTGTGTTTTGTGGGTGAAACGTGGCAATCAATTGAACACAGCGATGCCCCACAAACAGCCATGGAGGAGTAACCAAATTAGTTCAGTGGTTAGAGCACTCGCTCTAATAATAATAATCCTTGCATTTGATATAACGTTTTATCACGTCTGTGAGACATCTGAAAACACTTCACAGAATATACTGTAAAGTGAATTGGCACTTCATCGTACAGAAACACTCACTCCCATCTTGGCCAGATTTCACTGGCTTCCTAGTTCCCATTGGATTGACTTTAAGATCCATGTTTTAATTTTCAAATGTCTCAAGCCCTTGTCCTTATCCCTATGATCTCCTGTGGTCCTTCACCCTGCTCACTGCGTCCGCAATGGTAATTTAGCCCTGGTTCCCCAAAATACCTCCATCTCACAAACTCCCTTTCTGCCCATCCCCTCTGCTCCACCATTGTTTGCCGTGCTTTCAGCCTCTACGTCCTGAGACTCTGGAATTCTCTACCTCAATCGCTTCACCTTGTCACCCCAGCCCCCCCCCCCCCCCCAGCCCCCCCGTTTCTCTTCGGATCACACCCGAAGACCTTCCTGTTTGACTGTATCCACGGTCACCACGGTTGGATTCGATAACAACTTTTAAGAGAGAAGTAGATAATTATTTGGGAAGGATAAGTTTGCAGGGCTATGGGGAGAGCGGGGGAATGGGATTGATTTGGATAGCTCTTTTCAAAGTGTCCTTCTGTGCTGTATAATTCTATGATTCTATGATGTGGAGTCCTGTAGCTCAGTGGTTAGAGCACTCGCCTCACAAGTGAGAGACCTGGGTTCGATTCGCGGCAGGCAAAATGTTGGGCATGTTTCCTTACTCCACACACCTCTGTTTACCTAGTAGTAAGTAGGAACCCGGTTGTTAGTCGATTGGCTGATCACTTTTCCGGGGGTAATAATTCTTTCAAAAAATAATAATAAATTGGTCACTTCAATGGGACTGTTTATGGGACGCTGCTGTGCGTTATTGGCTGCTGCATTTTGCCCACAAAATATACGGTCAATTCACTTTACAGTATATTCTGGTCACTTACATTAACACTTATATTGTTGTGCACAAATTGGCAGCCACATTTGCCTAGAAATATATACTGAAGTGCTTTCTGACCTTTTGATGTAATAAGGATCTATATCAAATGCAAGGATTATTATTATTGCCATTGGCAGAACCTTCCTTCTATTTTAGAGTATGCCGCCATCTTGGACACTGCAACATGTTTTTTGCATCAGTCAGAAAGAGAAGTCGAGATTGTAAACTGTGCGTTGCCCTCTACAATGGAGGCGTCTCATTGAAATGATACTGTAATATAAAGAGCAAGTGAAACTACAGCTGTGTAGTTACTTGCCGCAAAATTTAAGGACATGCTGATTTGATTTCTTCTGCATTGTTTGAAGTTGCCTGTCCATTCTGTATTTTCCTTGAACATTTGCCACATGTGCACATAGTTAAAGTTGTTTTGGTGATCAAACCAAGCATTCATGTTATCCACAGCTGAAAAACTTGGATCCATTCTTGATGCTGGATGAGTTTAATGTTTCCAAACCTGCAGGATTTCCTGACCACCCTCACAGGGGCTTTGAAACTGTAAGTGGAAAATCTCTACTTTTCCTAGTTGGAACAGGTACCTTCGCTCTGAGTTTTGTAGACGTTACTGTTGTGGTTGCACATTTACTATTAATGACTTTATCTTTAACGAACAAAAAATGACGACTGGTGATGTCATTGACATAGAACTGTCATGCATGTCAGCCTGGTCATTTGTTCAAGCTCCACGTTGGGACTTTGGAATTCACGTAGTCTATTGCAATGCAGTCCTGGGCAGCACCAATGTGTGCTGCATTGTTTGAGAGGTTGTTCTTCGAGTGAAACTTTAAACTGAAGTCCTGCATGTTTGCTCAGATGGATGTTAAAGATCTCATGGCACAATTCAAACAGAGAAGGGGGTTTCTCTTGGTGTCCTGGTCAATAATCTTTCAAATAAAATTGGTTGTTCATTACATGGCTACTTGTAAGACATTACTGTGTGCAAATTGGCTGCCGCATTCACTTACAAAATACAATCACTAAACCATATAATATATCCTATGAAGCCCTTTAAGTCACTTCAATGATATGATAAGGTACAGGGTCATATACAAGGATTATTATTATATCTAGAACTGAGATAATTATAGGCATCGAGATCAATGGTCTACTGGGCTCTCAGATATTCTTTTGACAGCTTTCTGTTATACAGCTCACAATAGCAGAGGGATCCACCTGGGGAAAAGAAACTTACTCAGCATCTCAGCCTTCTCCTAATCCACTTCTTGGCAAAACATTGTGCAGCATTGGAAGCTGTCATGGAGTGATATGTGAAATCCTCCCTGATTTTAAAACCCAAGCTTGATGTTACCAAACCAGTGACTGGAGTAAAAAATGCTGCCCTTTCTCTTATTCCTTTCAAACTCGCAGTACGGGCCCTGGCCATTCATTTAAGTTTATGAACTTGAAAATGTAATTGATAACACATTGTGTTACCAATATATAAAAAAACTATATCTCATTTTATTTGTGTTACAAACTCCGTGACCCCATCTCCCCTCATTCTCATCCGACTCCATTGACTCCCTATCCTTCAGAGGATCCAGTTCAAGATCCTGGTCCTCATATACGTAGCCCTCCATGGCCTCGCCCCACCCTACCTCTGCGACCTTCTAACCCCCTACCAACCTGCCTACTCCCTCCGCTCAGCCGGCTCTGGCCTGCTCCACGTCCCCCGACCCACCCGCCCCACCATTGGTGGGAGAGCCTTCAGCCACTCTGCCCCCAACCTTTGGAATTCCATCCCCCAATCACTCCGCCTTGTCCCCTCCTTAGCCTCCTTCAAGTCCCGCCTCAAGACCCTCCTCTTCGGCCGCCCCCCTTCCCTTCCCCTCCCTTCTCTCCTCTCTGACCCCAGCTCGGGTCTGAAATGCTGTACACTGTCCAGCGCCTTGGGACGTCCTCCCGACATGAAAGGCGCTATGCAAATGTAATCTTGTTGTTGTTGTTGTTGTTGTTTTCTGGGAATGAGGTTGACTTGCTAACTGCAGGGGAATACAAGTTACAATGATGGATATTTTATGATATGATAGCCAGGTGTCTGAATTTGATGCAGAAACCCATCACCATGCTTAAAAGTATCCAACCCAAACTGAGAGTTCCACATACGTATGTCATCAACATGTCCATGGGTTTGGAATGGAATGCAAACTCTCTCCCTGGAGAGCATTAGGTACAAGTTGGTGAGAGCATGGATTTGGGCACTGCTGGAGTTCAACCATATCTTGAACAAACCTTTGATGAAACTGTGTTGCCATCCAGGGAGTTCATTGCTACCTCAACTACTATCTAAGATGATTTAATTAGAAGCAGGGTGAGATATATATGGTATGTGTACCACCAACACCAGCAGAGTTAGTGTTTGTGAGTACATAAATAGCTGTATAGCTGGTATTATAATGTTCTTGTTAATCCACTAGATGGAGTGCTAGCCAAGCTTGTGCAGAGTTTGAAGCCAATTCTTTTATGTTCATGCTGAGGTTGTGTTGCTGCACATTTAATGGTGAATCACTGTGATTCTGGCATTGATTCAAATATACTATATAACTATATAACCAGTTCAAATTGTACTGAAACATCAGTGTGTACATTGAGTGAACTGACAGATTCATTTACTACTCTAAACTTGCAAGTTCCACCACATTTTCAGGAGAAACTCGTATGAAAATGTTAAGAAGGATCTATCTGTTTTTTAACACAAGTTAGTACAAACCTAGCTATAATTTCTTTGAATCTAATTTGCTGATAAAATCCATTAGACTTTTATGTTCTTACTTTGAGACGTCTTGAAGACGTGATAAGGTGCTATATTAAATGCAAGGATTATTATTATTACTTCCTCTAATATTCCCTTCAGTTTAGTCCTTCAACTTTCATGACATCTCCCAGACCTCATTATTTTGTTTCTATGTATTTATTCAGGTTAGTTTTCATCTGCTTTTGTCATTTGGCTTTTTATCTTTTTATCTTTCCTCAAAGGAACTTGCTTTCTTTATCTTTAAAATGGTCTCAAAGGATTCCATTGCTTCTTAATAATAATAATAAACCTTACATTCGATATAGCACCTTATCATATTGTTGAGATATCTCAAACTGCTTCACAAGATGTACGGTAAAGTGAATTGACTATATTTTGTGGACCAAACGGGCAGCCAATTGCGCGCAACAGTGTCCCACAAACAGTCCTGGATTGAGTGACTAAATTATTATTATTATTACCCCCAGAATGCAATCTGTCAATCTACAAACAACTGGGTTCCTACTTACGCCGAGGTAAAGAGAGGTTTGTGAAGTAAGGAAACTTGCCTATGGTTTTGTACTGCTCGGGAATTGAACCTGGGTTCTCTCACTTGCAAGATGAGTACTCATAAACCAATACGGTATGGGATTCCACACTTAATCCGCCCTTGTAAATGAACAACTAGACGATCTTGCGGGGGCGTAGTGGAGGGGTGGCTGTGTGGAAGTAAGCAAGTTCTCCTTGGTGCTGAGCTTGCAATGTAATGTTGCATTCAAGTCAATCCTCTGTGGCAGTCTCTGTAGTCCAGTTTCTAAGCCATGCATGTGATGACAGACCAGCCAGCTTGGCTCATCAACAGGCCTTAAAAAGGGAGGGATTCATCCCACTCTGCTTATGTTAACCCAAGCCAAAGCCCCATCGATTAGTGTGATCCTATCTGGACAAGCAGTTGGAAACTTGACAGACTGCTCTCAATTGCATGCTATGCTGGTTTTAGCTGGTAAATGCAGCAGTACCTGAATATGCATACTGGGGATCAACCTGAGCGCAATACGTTCCAGAATTAGATATGCAGGATGCAACTCTACAGGAAGAGAGTGCACATTCCATTCCAGACATATAGAACATGTCCATGTGTGGGTGACATACATAAGTGGCACTCTGCCTGGTTTTAATCTCTTAAGCAATGTGGTAGGTTTCTATATTGGTCAGATACCAAAAACGTAGTCATCTTTAGAACTCAGGGCTTCAAAGATTGTATTTCTAAAGTTCTACGCATCTATTCTTTTTATGAGGACATTATTGTAAGTGAGGATGGTTTGAGTTGGAACTGATGGTGTATCACAAGGTTCCAGAATGAATTTGGAGTCAGTAAAATAGGTCACACAGAGTGAGATGGAATTTGTCCGCCATAGAGGAGTGCGTAATCTGGTCCATTGCGTGATCCAAGGAGGTTTGGAGTGTTTCATGGGTGGACGGGTTGCCGGAGGGATGAAAAATAAATTAAAAAATGCTGTGAGATTTACTGCACATTCTGGAATTTTTGGATTTCCATCTCAGCGTTTAATTTCTTTCCCTCCTGCAACCGCTGTCCAGTTTAAGGTATCAGTTACTAGCCTAACAGTTTTATGCCAAGCCGCCTTTCTAATTATTAGTCCTGTGCCAACCTTATCTGCTTATTCAATATCCTGCTTTCTTGCTTGGCAATAATAGTTTGCTGACAAATGCATATGAAATATATAATTTCCTAAATTTCTTAAGCATTAGCAAGAAACTTATTTTGGCCACTGTTCAGCTGATCTTTAGAGAGAGAGAGAGACCTGTGCATTATCTACAGTGAGAAATAGTGTTGTGAAAAAAAATCGATGCAATTTCATTGCAGTTTACAAACATAAACATCATGAATTGAGTGGCGGTTTCACAAGCTTCATACCTTCTGGTTCTGGTAAATGCGCAGCTCCTGCAACTGACTGCAACTGTCTCCTGCTCCCTCACATGAAGGGTTCCCGGCACTCGCCGCTGCTTCTGTTCCCACCCGTAGCATGGGGATTTAAATGGAAACTTTTTTGTAATTTTTTTCCCTCCAATTGTTCATTCAGAAAAGTAAAAACAAAGATATGGGCATTCTCATGGATAAGCTTTGAATGCGTATGACCAAGTAGACAACAACAACAACTTGCATAGCACCCTTCACGTAGGGTAGCGTCCCTAACGCAGTGTTTAATGTTACTGGTGATAATGATCTCAATTTGCACCCTTGTCTGATATTAAATGCTCTGGGGCTCTATATAAATGCAAGTTGATATTTAATCTGCTCTAGGTCTGAATTCGATCAGAATTCATCTTTTAAAGCAGTACTTTTTCCATTTGTTACAGGTAACCTACTTGCTGAGTGGAAGCATTGCCCATGAAGACTTTTGTGGTCATAAAGGAACCATTTACCCAGGAGACTTACAGGTAACCCACAGTACTGATGTACATTGAGCCGATTATAATGTCATAATATCATAAACCTTGCATTTGGTATTGTGCTTTTCACATCAGGAGGACATCCCAAAGTACTTCATAGGATATACTGGAAAGTACTTTGTGTTTTGTGGATGAATGTGCCATCCAATAAATGGGATAGAGAAGGTAAACCCCAAAACAATAATTTCAGGTGTCCACATTCCCCTGCACCCACACCCCCACAAAAAAAAGAAAAGGCAGCAAGACAAGAGGGCACAGGTTAATTATGGTATGAAGGACAATTTTAGGACAGAGATCAGGAAGTATTTTTCACCTTGAAGAGAACGATATTCATCAAATAAATGAGTGTGTGTGGCAAGTGAGTGTTTTAGGATTCACTTGCATGGGAGATAGTTGCAGTTCAGATGCCAAGTCGGTATTATGTACCTTAGGAAATCCTTCTAATGTGAAAACACTATATAAATGTAAATTAATATTGTACAGTATTGTAAAAGGTAGTTTTATGTTTGGGATTTGCCAAAACAGAATAGGATCTCAATTTGTAATTTCAGTACTTTTAATCTAAAGTTATTAACTCTTCCATTTGGTGGCAGTGATTTACCACAGTATCAGCCGGTGGTAAGATGTGAGCACTGGGACTTGAACAGCTGGTAATGCTGCATTTATCCTAACCCAGAACGAAATCACTTTGCTCCCAGCAGTGCAATGCTAAGGAGTGGGAAAACCTGATTTACGTTTCCTACTCCACATGGCGTGGCTGTAGGGGAAGCCAGCCAAGAGTGGTTTGGACTCAAGTGTTCATGCAACAGCTCAGCTCATACTACTCTCGACACCACCTTCTCCGTTGTGGTTAAAAAAAAAGCCACCAAAACACGCATTATTATTGTGCAGCAAAGATGCTGTTTAACCTTGCAAAAGAATCGTTTAGGTTTTCATCGAAAACCAAAGATAAGGGGCAATGGATTGCATGCTCTGAGTTGTAACCTGCCTTAAAATGGCTGTAAGATGTAATGGTTTCCTCTGTTGCATGTTGTTTCTGTCGCCACAGTATTCTATACAGCTATGAAATGCATCCCAGATTTTCTTTCAACTGAGAGATATATTTTATCTGTGGTTCAATTCCCTTGTCCCAAAACAAAATACCATTATTGGAATTAGCTGATAATATGGACGCAACTAACACCTGGTTTATAGTGGATCTGAGCAGCAATCCAAAAGCAAAGCCCAGTGGAGCCCTGCTGCTGCGAGAGCATCTTTAAGGAGGTCTTTGGCTACATATCGATTCACGTCACCGCAGGAGATAAACATGTAGTGGGAATTGATTCAGATCCTGCTCAGAAATGATAGCCACTGAAGCCCTTCGGGCAGTCAACTGACCCATATTTTGATTTTGTGAAACATTCAAAAAAAGAAGGCCATTAACAGAGCTCTGCCTGCACCTGCACCAATGAGACTTGGAGCAAGATATATAGATTTCGCCCACAAAACACACAGTCACTACACTTTACAGTATATTCTGTGAAGTGCTTTGAGACATCTCAATGACATGATAAGGCGTTATATCAAATGCAAGGATTATTATTATTATTATTGTATAGTTTCCCACTTTCAATTCCTTGACTGCTGGAAGGGAGAAAATTGGCAGGAAAAACAAGTTACATGAAACAGTTTTGTTAATCACTGCATTATGTCCAATGTTGTTTGTTTTTCATTGCTCTGCAGTGGATGACAGCCGGTCGTGGGGTGGTCCATTGTGAGATGCCGTCCTCGGATGAACCAGTGCAAGGCCTTCAGCTCTGGATCAACTTGAAAAGTTCAGAGAAGATGGTGCCACCTCAGTACCAGGAATTGAAGAGTAAATCCATTCCGAAATGTAGCCATAATGGTGTTGACGTGATTGTTATCTCAGGTGAATCCCTTGGAGTTAAGGTAATTATTTAAAATTTTAGGACATAATTCATCCTAATAGAAACCATAATAATAATAATAATCCTTGCATTTGATATAGTACCTTATCGCGTCTTCGAGACGTCTCAAGGCACTTCACAAAATTTACTGTGAAGTAAATTGAATGTATATTTTGTGGGCGGAACACGGCAGCCAATTGCACACATCAGTGTCCCACAAACAGTCGTGGATTGATTGACCAAATTGTTATTATTATATTTTGAAGGAATTATCATCCCCAGAAAAGCGATCTGCTAATCGACTAGCAACCGGGTTCCTACTTACTGCAAGGTAGACAGAGGTGTGTGGAGTAAGGCAACTTGCCTAACATTTCGCCCTGGCCGGGAATCAAACCCAGGTCCTCTCGCTTGCGAGGCGAGTGATCTAACCACTGAGCTACAGGATTCCACCATGTAGAAGAAAGCCAATAAAAAATAATTGATCACTCAAACCACGATTGTTTATGGGACACTGCTGTGCGCAATTGGCTGCCGCATTTCGTCCACAGTATATTCTGTGAAGCACTTTAAGACATCTCGAAGACGTGGTAAGGTGCTATATCAAATGCAAGGATTATGATTATTATTATTATAATAAGCCTTGCATTTGATACAGCACTTTGTGATGTTGTCACAATGTCTCAAAGCGCTTCACGGGATTTAGTATAAAGTTTAGTGACTTTCTTTTGGTGAACATGGCTGCCAATACACACACAGCAATGTCTCATAGACAGGCATGAAGTGAATAACCAATTTTATCAAGGGGTTTGTTGCCAAGGACACCAGGAGAAACTCTGTTTTTTTTCAAACAGTTCAAAGGGATCTTTAATGTTCTCCTGAACAAGCAGACAAGACTTTGGTTAAATGTTTCATCCAAAGGAAGGTACCTCCGATAGATAATGCAATGCTCTCCCAGTGTACTTGTGATTGTTTCATAGACTACAATGCGTTGACACCTATGGGTGAACACCTTTGTAGAGTGTGATCTGCTCAAAGTGGGGGGGGGTGGGGGGCTGAACTTCATTTGAACAGCCAGCAGGAAATAGGCATAAGATTGAATTCTCTTGTGCGCTGTAATTTTTAATCCTTCTTGGAAATGATCTTATGTATGTTGCAATTCTGTGGCTCAGTAACAAAGAACTACAGCTCAATGCTCAGGAATGCATGTCCGAACTGTAGGCAGGAGGCAAGTAACAATGTTCTCACTCATTTCATGTTGAGCTGTGCTGCTAATAATAATAATCCTTGCATATGATACAGCGCCTTATCACGTCTTCGAGATGTCTCAAAACGCTTCACAGAATATACGGTAAAGTGAATTGACTATATATTTTGTGGGCAAAACATGGCAGCCAATTGTGCACAGCAGTGTCCCACAAACAGTTGTGGATTGAGTGACCAATTTATTATTATTATTTTTATCTGGGGTTCAATTCTCTTGTCCCAAGACAAAATGCCATTTTTTTTGAACGAATTATAACTCCCAGAAAAGCGATCTGACAATCGACTAACAGCCAGGTTTCTACTTACTGCTAAGTAAACAGAGGCGTGAAGAGTAAGGAAACTTGCCCAATGTTTTGCCTTGCTGGGAATCGAACCCAGGCCTCTCGCTTGTGAGGCGAGTGCTCTAACCACTAAGCTATAGGACTTTCTGCTCACCGGAAAGCTTGCAGGAAGGACTCGATCTAATTCTTGTCGTATGTCAAACAACTAACTAGTAATCATCATCTCCAGCGAAGGGTGGATGGTTGCAGGTTAGGCACACAGGGTGAAGCTGGCTAGCTCTAAGGTAACATGTTTGGCAAATGGAATGTTAGAATTGAATCACCCTCTGTGCTGGTCTCCTTCGTCTGGTTCCTGAACCAGACAGTAATTTACTGTTATTACTTAGTGGGTACATTTAAGGGTTTCATTTCCTTCACTTGTCTAAAATTTCAAAAATCATGGAAATCACGTTGCAAACCAAGTCAGTGTTTTTGTGTGATTTTTTGAGTGTGTTTTCTATCACTTTTGACATTTTACAGTGGCTAATCTGAGAAATGCAACAAAATTGTACCCTTGGCATAAGTGTGCTATTTATTTCCATTTTCAAAAGATTGTCTGGATATGATACAATGACTGATATTGAGGCTATTTACTTGATGATTTCATAGTGTTTTGTCTGCTTTTGATTTGCAAATGTGCCAAGCACCAAGGATTAACATAGCTCAGGCAGATAATTTAATAACACACCAACATAGTTTGAGGTTTGCATGGTCTATATTTTGTTATAGGGTTGAGTTTACAGGCTGGTTGCCATCTCTTGCAAGGTATTATTAATCTTCATTTATTGCTGTCCCAAAACATGCTTTTTATTTCAATTTTTCATACTTTGAAAAGATGCTTTGAAAAAAATTGGTAGCGCTCTGAGGCACAAGATTTGTGGTTTCATTCCCCATGTTGAGACATTGAACTCAGACACAGTGTATGGTCATGCCCTAATGCAGTGCTCGGAGTGCAATTCGAAAAGGGAAGGAAATTTCTCCCTGTGTCCTGACAAGAATTCCCCAGGAAAAATTGTGGGACATCTTGCTGTGTCTAAGATTGGCCATTGCACTCGCCTACATAATACACAGTTACAACAGTATGAAACGCTTTGAGATCTCCTCCTGATGTGAAAGGTGCTATACCAAATGCGATAATTATTATTAATGCAAATTTACCAGCTTTTACAACACAGATTGAAGCTCTGGAAATCAAGTAAGCAATGGAACTTGTATTTTCTGACTTGACGACTGTTGTAAACAAGAGAGAGAAGTTCAGAATTTTTTTAGAAATAATATTACAGTANTTTTTTTAAATGAATTGATTCTAAGTTTCTAGAAGATGATATCTGAGATGCTAATACTGGAAACCTGTTAATGTCTGCGGAGTTCAAACGGACCTCGGCATTCAGCTGTTTAAAGGTTAAGGTTAGGATACTCAAAGTATTGCCAGGCCCTGCACATTTGTGGCATTTCTGCTTTAAGAATTTGAAGGAAGTACTTCCATGTGTGCTTATATTGGAACACTTTGCTTTCATATGTCTTTTTATTAATACGATTCTCTGGTGTTTCTGTTAAAACATTCTGCTATTTGTATTTAATATAAAAGCATTCTTAAGATGGTTATTTGAAATTGTTGAGCACTTGGCATGTTTGTACGACAAAAGTTCCACTGTTAACATGGTTATGCAAGATGTAATGTGCTCCTTTTCTCTAGGAAATGTTTTTCAAAAGTGTTTGATTTTTATGCACAACATAAAATCTTAACTTGAATTGATCATAATTAACTTTAGGTCAACGGAAAATATGTCAAAGTATGAATGAAAGATTTCATGTCTAATTTATATTTTTTATTTAGTACCTGGGGTATGGTTTGTCCATCTGTCGTCTGTATATTTATTTCTTCCATGTGTTTATTTCCTTGCTTTTGTTTCTTTCTTACCTCCCATTTTTTCTCCACATTTTTCTTCATCGTTCCAGGATCCTTTTCTTGTTCTCTTCAGTTACTACAGGAATTAGAATACTATAGGAATAAGTGCTATAGGAATTAGAATACTGATACTAATAATATCATAGTAATAATGATAATAATAATTATTCTAATTATCATGGGGAGCCAGTGAAGCAGAACGAGAATGGAAGTGATAGGGTCACAACTCTTGGTCCAGGAGAGGACACGAGCTGCAGTGTTCTGAATAATCTGTTGCGTGTGGAGGGAACAGTTGGGAATCTAGCAATGCATTGCGGCTTGGGAGAAGTTCAGCAATATGAATCATTGACCCATCAAAGCCAATATGTTTTAAATGCAGTTTTAAAATATTGCAAATTCTAAATTGACCCAAACCAGATTCAAACCAACAGTACCAAGTTGGTGCCCTTTCACATTGGCTCCACTGTATACAAACCAATGCATGTTGGAACAGGAAGCATTAGATTAAGTACCGATTCATTTTTGTGGTATGGCAATTAATTTGTTCTCTTTTCCCCAAAGCTTTGAGTTAGGGGATAGGTGTATTTCTCCAGAGTACTAGTTGTGTGTGTGGAGAGAGGTAGAGTGAGATTGGGAGGGGTTGAAATTAATGGAGCTGAGTAAAAGGCAGGAGCTTTGGTCCCAGGAAGGTAGGAAAGGCTGTCAGATGCGTCTTTCCCTATAGATCTCTGAGGCAGTGATCAAAAATAACAAAGGCCTAGGTAGCAGGTCACCTGCAATGCCTCCTCTTGACTCTCGTTGTGAGCAGAGCTTTGAGACCTTAAAAAAGGAAGAAACTCATAAAGATGAGCCAACTAATAGGCCTAAATATGACATCCAGATTCTACAGGGAAGAAGTCGACAGAAGTTATCCAGAGGAATATGTGCCAAGTAAGAGCCTTAAATTATAACAGTAATCTTGGAATATGAATAGTATGGTTAAAGCAGAGCTACAAAAACATTCTATTCCTCATTTCATTCCATTCTATCTTGCAGCAGATTGCAACTGCAACTCAGGCTACTTTTTGTGATATTAATGATACAGATTAGAATCCTTCTTCCATGCCTCTCTTCTACACACACACACACACACACACACACACACAAAATTAACATAATAGATTTGGGACACATTGAAGATATACAGCTGGCTTCCCACAGAAGAAACCAAAATAGGTCACAACAGAGAGAAAACAATCCAATGAAAGCTGGTCTATTGCCATATTCCCCCTGATGAGTCTTGCCTAAACATCTGGACCAGAAAGAAAAGCATCTAGCAATTACCGTTTTCTTTGAAATTTAACAGAAAACCAACCATTTCACAGCATACTGTCGAGATCTGCAAAATCGTCCTCAGTTGATGCTTTCAGTACCAATGAATCCTAAAACATTAAAAGCTCCCAATCTAACCATAACGATAAGGAATGAGCCTTCAAGAAAATGTTCCAGCTTGATCCCAAAATAACACAGCATTGGAGGATAACAAAAAAA